AGGCTCCTGAGAAGCCCGGCCCAACTCGCTCTCTTGCTCACCCTCAGATGGGGAGAGTGGGGGAGGGACACACACAGCGACACGGAAGAGGTCAACACAGAGACAGAACACACGAGCCGCGTCCCCGCGCACACCCAGCACCGCCTGGAACCCAAGCATCGGCGCTCCGGCATCAGCCCATGTGCTTCCACGTGCTTCACTTCCAAATGCTGGCGACCTTGCAAAGGAAACCCTCACTTTCTTAAGTCACTTCCAAAGCTTTATGTAAGCGCTGTAAAACTTACAGGAAGTGAAACCACGGGGTCAATTTTCTTTGATGCAGAAACACTGAAAACTATGCATAGGGTCTTCAAAATATTCATGGAAAAATATGAAAAAGCATGGATTTCAACCTTTTGTGCCAAATAAACTCTGTCTCTTCCTTTTCCTTTTCCCTGTGCTTTCGAAGTCCCGCAGCGCGCCAGAAGCAGACAGAGAGCGCGCGGTCCCTTCTGTGGACTCCGCACTCCCTCAGCGGCAGCCCCCTACAGGACATGGTGGCTGCACCTGAGTGCCATCAGTGCCGCGACGGGCTCCTTCCACGTGCCATGTCCAAGGTCACGGCGACACGGTGCACACGGACGCCAAGGTCACGCTGCTGGCACTCGGACAGTGGGCAGCCGTTCTCTGGGGAAGGAAAGGGGGTTGTGGGTGGGGAGGCTTGCTTTGTACACCCATGTAGGTTTGTCTGTTTCCTTTCAAGGTAGGAGGACAGTATCTTTGTAAGAATTATTTTAAATCGTGTAGTGCATTTTGTCTTCCCTTTGAGCCATTCAATTTCGGCATCTGGTAGGGTTCCTTCTCCCTGCTCCCCGTGCTGCCTCCCGTCTGTCTGCCTCGCTGGCAGCACGTCCTCGCGTTCCCCACTGAAATGCGCCGCCGCGTACAGAGAACAAAAGCGCGCGCTCCAGTGTTCAGGCTGCACGTGCTGTGCGTTCACACACGCGACCGCGGACGTTTGATATACGGACATCTCGCTCGTGTCTTTTTAAAGTTTTATTTATTTTAGTATGATTTATTCACCACACATTGCACTGTTTCCAGCTTTTACTATTGTAAGCGATGCTGTGACACAAACCTTCGTACAAGTCCACTTTTTCCTTAGGAGATCCGTAAAAGCAAAGCAGCCGTCACCAACTTGTGACATCTGGCTTCCAGCTCCATCTGTGACTGTTGGCCAGCACCTCTGAGCCAGCCACTTCCCCAGCCCGTCTGAGACGACGTCTCAGCCGCGTGTGCTCCATGTTCCTTGAATAACCCCAGCTGCTGTGCCCCGTCTGTCATCCAGTTGGCTTCCTTTTTCCCATCTGCTGACTTCTTGGCTCTCTAAACTGTTAGGCTTATTTTGAAATCCTTAACTTTTTGGATCATGATTTTTAAAAATTTGTGCAAGTTTGTTTTACATTCAGAATAAAACACAAAACTAGCAGAGTAAAGCCAGCTCTTAGGGGACAGCGCTGTGGTCCCTACAGCAGGTGCGGCACAGCTCGTGTCAGCATCCCACACGGGAGTGCAGGTCTGAGTCCTGGCTGCTCTGCTCACAATCCAGCTTCCTGCTACTGCACCCGGGGAGGAGAAGACGGCCCAAATACCTGCGTCCCTGCCATTCATGTGGAAGACCAGGATGGAGTCCTGGCTCCTGGCTTCAGCCTGGCACAACCCTGGCTGTGGAGTGAACTAGTGGATGAAAGATCCCCCTTTGTGTCACTCTTTCATATAAGTAAATAATCTTAAAAAAAAAAAAAAAAAAGGCTCCCATGTATACAGCACTCACTCTGTGAGGCACTGGCCAAGGTCTTCACCCTGAGGGCAGGTGTTTAACCTAAGGAGTGAGATGCAAGTTGGCTGTGCCCCACCCGACACTATCTGGGGTTGAGACCCAGGCTGGACCCCTGAGTCCAGCCATGACAGCTCAGGGGTCTGCCATCCACGGGGGAGATGTCCGCTGCGTCTGGCTTCGGCTTGGCCTCTGTGGGAATTTAGGGAAGGAACCAGCAGACGGGAGCTCTGTGCCTACTGTTTTCAAGTAATTGAAAGAAAAAGAAGAAAGTGAAAGCCACGTGAAGGGCAGCTACTCCCACACACACACTCGGCCAGACGTCCTTGGCCCTCGTTGCACTAGAACCTGCAGCCCTCCTCCAGCCACGTGTGAGGACCGGGGCTTTCAGAACTTCTCCTCTTCATCTTCCTAACACAGTGAAATACACCCAAAGGAGCAGCAGCCCCTTTCTCTATTCCAGGTGTGGTCTCTGCTTTCTTTGCGTATGTATGAACGGACAAGCGGCTCAATCTCAGAGCAGCTGGGCTCAGACCCCCGCCCCAGCTTTCTGAGGTTGCATTCCTGCTCGGGTCTCCCTCTGCAAAACAGGACGACCACTGTGGGTCATTCCCACGTCCACATTCTGGGCCCTGATCCTGATAGCGCCAGCGACACACACCCTGTTAGAAGGGAGGGCCTAGTGAGCCTGCACACAAGCACTCCCACCGTCTGCCTCCTCCACTAATCCAAATGTCCCCTCCAGCAGACTCATCTACTCCCCGTTTCTCCGTCAATCAAACCCTCCCATCCTTGCAGGCCCAGTCCAGCATCACCCACCACATTCGGCTCTCCCAGGCTGCACCAGTGCCATTTCCCCCCTGCCCTGGACGCGATCGCCGAGCAGCAAGGGAGCACACTTTTGCACCAAACCTTGAACTGCTGTGTTTTAACTTATGTGCCTGGAAACTGTGAAGACACTGTAGCTGGGGACGGTGTCCTCGACTTTGGCCTTCCACAGTGCATAGCACAGAGTGACACAGACAACAGACACTCACAGACTGTACGATTAAAACCCACTGCCTGCAGTGCCGGCATCCCGTATGAACGCCAGTTCTAGTCCCGGCTGCTCCACTTCTGATCCAGCTCTCTGCCATGGCCTGGGAAAGCAGTAGAAGGTGGCCCAAGTGCTTGGACCCCTGCACCCATGTGGGAGACTCGGAAGAAGCTCCTGGCTCCTGGCTTCAGATTGGCGCAGCTCTGGCCCTTGTGGCCATCTGGGGAGTGAACCATTGGATGGAAGACCTCCCTTTCTCTCTCTCTCTCTCTCTCTCTCTGCCTCTCTACAACTGTCTTTCAAGTAAATAAAATAAATCTTAAAAAAAAAAAAAACCAAGTTAATAGCCCAATAACACAACAGACACAAGAGTAATATGTACATTCCTCTTTATTTAATACAACACATGACACATACAAAAAGAAAAAGCACTCATGTAAAAGGCCCTGTCACCAAGGACAGACAGGAAACAGCCACACCGAATCAAACAAGGCTCTTGCTTCAAACACGGGTTTGCTAGCTACACCTGGAACATGAGCGAGGCTGTTGCAAAACAAGTGAAAAAATGAACAAAAATCCCTGCACTGAAGGGAGGGTTTCCATGGGACTGATCAGCTAATTCACAGATCTCTACTTAGGAATGTGTATGCTCTCAAGCATCCACACTTCACCATTGTTTTATGAAATGGAGCTTTTTGGTTAAAAAAAAATTCATCTGCTCTTTTTTTAAATTTTGTTTTCCCCAGCAGAGGACGACAAGAACTCTCTGAGAACCGGAGTTGGGAGGTCGGGGGCACTTCACACCAAGCCCGCGTGAGGGACCTGCAGAAGCAAGACGGCAGTGGGAGAGGCTGACTGCGAAGCCACTGCTGGCAGCCAGCGCGGGACGGCCGCTGGGAACGTCAGAACGGAGGCGCTGAGGCTCAGTGCAGGGTTCAGTAGCAGCACTTTGTCCATATCCTGCTCTGGTTTGAGCCGGAAAATTTAACGAGCACCAGTTTGTCTCAAAAGAGCCTTATGCATACACACACATACATATCCACACCCATTCACCTGTCATCACCACCCCCTTTTATTTAAATTTAATATTATTTTTTTACTAAAATAATACAAAAAAGGGAGACAGGTATATTTACAAAAATCCATGGCTGGTACAGTACATAATTTTTTAAGACATACTAAATGCTACAATCTTTCAGGTCCTGAGATTATTACAAATATCAACTCAAAGCTTGTGTTCAGGTCCAGTTTTTAAAGGAGGAAAAACAACCCCAAAACATGAAGTCACACACTACTTCAAGGCAGTGAGACGCAGTACAGTGACTCGTGCCCCACCCACAGGACTGCCCACCCTCTAGACGCCTTGCTTCAGGACTGGCTCTGCAATGGGGGGGGGGGGCCTCTGTCAAGTATGGGCGTGGCTAAGGAAGAGGGAGATGTATACCGGGGGAGCTGCTCAGAGAGCGGACGGACGCTACCGTCTAGACACGCCCTGCCTTCCCTCCTGCTACCTAAGGAGAGTCCTGCCCTTATGGAAACGCAGGCTAAGGGCTTGGCTAAAACCCAGAGTCACCGTTTCCAGTCCGCTGCAGCAAACAGCTCGGCGGTTTCCTGACGACTCCTTCTTGCTTATACTGAGCGAGAGCTACCTGCACTGACTCTGACACATCACTCAGGGCGCCAAGTGCTCACCAGCAGAGATTTATTTTCCTCTTCTTTCATGAATGCCAACAAGCAAACAGCAAGGGAAAGCTTCATTTACCACTCTCTCGTTAAAAAGCAACTTAGTATCTTTGATCGCTTCTGAAGATAAAGTAAAGTTTCATGGCAATCAACAAAGGCGAGTCCAGAGTTCGGGTCCCTCTGACATTACATCACCCGTGGGCTGGGACTCTCCGTGTACTGAGCAAAGCACCCGTGACTCTCGGGTGGTCTCGGAGGTGCGTGTGATTACACTGACGACTGACCTCCTCCTGACCACTGAGACAGTAATACCTCTGTTAACTGAGAACAACTTCTTTTTCTTCTAATCCCTCTAGCCAAAACTGGGAATAATCCTTGGGAGTTTCTACAGGTGCAGGAAGGAAACCCCAATTTCCTGACAGAGGGTACACTACCCCTGCCAAAAACAGAGATAAGCAAAAAAGGAGAGTTTATGGTCGCAAGGCTAGAAAACACAAGACAGCTGAGATAATTTTAGGGCAGGCTGTCACAGACTACAGGCTCCTGGCTGGTCTTGGCTCATGCGCTCTGAGGACATGGAGCTGTTAACTTCAAAAACAGAAGTATTTCCAAGTTATCTACGGTTAACAAGGGGCTTCCACTAGTACTCTGTTCTGAAATGTTTAATAAGTCAAACTCAAAACAGAGTCCCACTGTTAGCGAAATGAGGAACATAAAACTGGCCTATTGACTTGGACTTTGCAAAACAGACCTATTAGAGAGGAAGCATGGAGCCACGCAAGGCCGCCTGTGGCGAGAAGTAACAGCCCCCGCAGCGGTCTGCACTGCTTCTGAACAACCCTGAAAAGCATCCCGAGGAAGCGACCTCAGCTACTACACTACACTGCAACGGAGTCAAGAAGAGAAAAACAACTCCCGGCGCCAGTGAGGACCACTGGGGACCCGTACCCCACTTCCACTGCTGAGATTTCAAGACACACTCTTGACCTGTCTGGGTGACAGACTGAGAAAGTGCCCAACGTTGAAGTATTAACCCTCTCTGAAATGGAAACAGGAAAGATTGAGAAGTGGAAATATCACAGTCCAAGAAAATTAAATGAAGATAAAAAATACCTACTTCCAATCAGTTAGTACTCTGAGTGTGTGGGAAAACTGTGACAGCATCAAGTCATCCCGGGCAGTCTGGCGACCACCCTCCTGGTCTGCCTGCACCCCTGTCGGGACAGCGACTCCCCCAGATCGCAGGCCTCACTGTGCAGGTCAGCAGGCGCGCAGGGCGTCCGCTAGAGGGGGAGGAAACGCCTCCCCCCCACCCCGCCCCGGCGGACGACAGGAGCAGGAGCGACCAGGGGATGAGAGGGTGAACTTAGGCACCCACACTACGGGAAGAAGAATGAAGATGAGAGCAAAGGGGGACACATTCAACACAAATATGCAAAGCTATGGTAATTAGGATCTCATCACTTGTTCAGCTTGTCAAGCCTGCACACTGTGCCATGGAATCTAGAACTTTCTAAACACCAGGATGATTTTATCACAGCAGCCCAAAGACATCCATGACACTAACTACAGTTGTGAACCAGTGGGACGATTGGTAGTTTTTTTTTTAAATAAAAAAAATGCACATTTTAGGATAGATGAACATAAAAATATCTCTATTTTATTTTTCTGTTAATTTTCCCCAGAGAAAGCACATTCAACAAAATCCTTCGTCTTGTTTCTTTGGGTAGAAGTCTAAACATTTGTTATCAAAAGAATGGAAAAAACAACAACAACAAAGAATGGAAAAAAAGGGAAATGTGGCAAATAAAGAATGTTTATGTGGGCAGTAGATACTCAGAAGCTACTCACCAAGGTCTCATCTGGAAAAAGCAAGGGAAAACCAAACCGTGATTTTAAAACAACGAAACAAAACAAAACTGTGTCTCTAGAGATTAACTGGGCCCGAGCCCCTCCTGGGAGCTGGATCCCAGGCCAACTCCGCCCGGAGCTTCCTGCTCAGCATTGAGCTGCTGACTTGTTCCGCGTCCCACCGCCCACATTCTCTCTCCTGACCCTGACATGAGCTACACACCCAACAACCCCAGCTCAGCACCCGATCCTTCCTGCTGCTGCTGTCTGTAACGACAACAGGAAAACTCTGCATTTTGCTACTTAGCATGCAGGAAGAAGAGCGCAGTAAAGTTTTCTTCACTTCCTCCTGGGAGCCGTTCTCCCGCACTGAGGACAGTGGACCTGGCCGTGTGTGCTGCCTGTCCCAGCACAGAGCCGGACAGGCCCACACGCAGGCGGGCGACACAGCCTGAGCCACTGCTTGCCAGTGAATGAGACTCCCGTTCACTCTCCCCCAGTGGAAAGCCCAGTCCTGCATCACCGAGGAATGAGGGTGGGAAGATGGTGACGTGAGGCAGAGAGAACTTCCACAATCCTTTATCAGCTCCAAACACCAGTCACCCATACTTTATCTAACTTGAGCCCCACAACCTCAGCAAAAGTCACAATTATTGACACCATAAAAGGCTAAAAAAAACCACACACACAAAAAAAACTACTTATAATGAAGAAACTTAGTGTCATTTCTCTTGTTAACCTGAAACTAACCATTTTATCCCACCACAAATACAATATGTTTAAATAACAATATGTATCTAAATTAGAATTCCAGTGATTTCTTTTAAACTTAAAAATCGTAGGGTGCTTCCTATATCCTATAATTATAAGGAGATCATTTTTCAGCCTCTGCAGGAAGATAATACTATTTTTAATTATATAGGACATTTTAGAAAAACTCAAGCTATTTTGAAATAGCACAGTCTCTGATATCCCTGGGAGGTAGGTGAGGGTAATTCTACCCAAATGTGGATGGGTACTCTGAGGCACGACATGGATTGCCGGAGCTCGCTCCAGCGCTGGGCACGTTTCGCTGCCAGGAGCCTCTGCTTTCTCTTCAGCGATCAGTCTCCTATCCCAAATTAGACGTTTCTATTCAAAAGGGGACACTTGTTTGACGTTTTTGTCCTGGGTTTTCAGATTTGGTTCAACTGAGTCTCCCTGAACATGTCACATCTCTTTGTTTTCAATAAGAAACAAATGAACCTTAGATCCTGAAAATTGGGTTATTTTGCTCAAGGGCGAAATCTAAACCAAGTCTACTGTGATTCTCTGGCAAAGCGAAGACTGAAGAGCCCTCAGGAGCGCTCTAGCGCCGAGAGCATTTTCCTCCGCATCTGAAGTTACTTCTAGGTTTATCAGCATCTTCACAGATACCCAGCTGTAGGACTGTTCAGAAGTTATTACCCAGAAGAAAACAGGACACGTCTCTAATGTCGACAGAGCTGCCGACTGGCCGGGGTCTGCGGCTCTAAGCTCAGTCTCTCTGCCAGAGCGCACCTTAGCAAGGTGGCCCGCGAGACACGCTTGCTACTCCAGCGCTTCCCTGCACAGCTCACGCCGGGCTGCAGGGCACGGGCAGCGGGCCACACCCAGGAGCAGCTAAGCGTCCACTAAGGTTATCTGACTTGGAATAAACAACACATCTACGTGTGTATACATACATCGTATAACCGATACATACACACACCCTCGCACACACGCGCACGTGCACACACACACATCTTTTTGTTAACTGCTACAGATATATATTCAAGGGGGAAGACAGCATCTGTGGAAAGAAAATCCCCCAACCCACACATTTTAACCAGCGAAAAGCAATGGAACGAACAAGGCCAAAGTTTCGCAACGCTGCCAGGGGAGTTCTTCGAGAGCACACAACGGTACAGCATCTACTGGTTTATATGGATGCATCTTACATTTATGTCTGTACACAGCAGGAAAGGAAGAACATCACAGCATGACAGGACGTTGGCAAGTCTGAGATTCTTCTTCCTGAACCCCCTGACTAGTTAGTCTGTACTTTAGGATATCTGAGAACAGCTTTTAAAGAGCAGAAAAAAGAAAGAAAAAAAGGCACTTAACAAAGACAAAGGCCTGAACTGAGCATGTTTTAGAGAAGCGATATAAGCATTTATCAGAGCTAAGAGACAATTCACAAAGAGTCCAACTTTTCCCCTTAAACTCTGTAAAATAAAATTGCATACCATGTTTGTGATCAGCATTGTCTACTACTGCACTTTTCTCCTGCAACATTATTATGAAAATCAAAGCCCTCCCCCAGCAAAAAGCCAAACCAAACAAAACCAAACGCACAACCCTGCGTGCACAGCAGAGTGAGGGTGCCCCTCTGGGAGCGTCAGGCCAGCAGAAGCTGCGGAGCTGAGACACAAGGACCATGCTCAACTGCTCCTGCTCACTGCCCCTTCCCATGCTTCTGGTTCCAATTTCAACACCAAACCAAACCAAACCAAACCAACCCAACAAGCAAACAAAAAGCAAGCACGACTTCCACACTTAAATGACAGAAACCACACAGGGACCAGTGCGCTTGCGTGGTACCCGCCTAACGTAAGGACCCTCAGCGAGACGTGGGGCGGACTGCACGCTCAAGTCTCCTGCAGATGAAGAGCTGCCAACGAAAGCAGCGGCACAGCGAGCTCATCTCACAGCGGAGCAGCGCACGCGGCGGGAGCCGGCCTTCTAGAGACGATCCCAGGACACGGGCTCCCGGCGGGGGCGGCAGTTTGGACAACAGTAGAATTTCATGTCAGAAAACGTCTTGTGAGCCAAGCAGGGGTGGAAAGGGCTGCGGGACAGGGCAACCAGGGCAGAAAGACTCAAGGCGCCTGCCCTCCCCATCCCTGGGTAGTAAACAATTTAGATCTGCTTTGGAAAAAAAATATCCTGGGTTAAAAATCAGTTGCAAGAAGTTGTTTTCCAACAGGTGTCAAACCCACAGTATTCAAATATGTCATGTGCCTGGCTCTTCCCCTTACCTTGGTGATCCAATAAACTCTACTCAATGTCAATGATATATATATATATATATATATATATATATATATATATATATATATAAAATACCTAATTTGGGCTTACTACATCCATCAAAGGGGTGGTGGGCACAAAAGAATGTGCTAGCACGATCTCTGATTCCCTCAGCACCACCAGGATCTGTGACTACGAGTTAATCTCACGTCTTTCCCAAAACCTCTTCCTTCAGGCTGTCTTAAAGTCATGATTTCTTTTACCCTCTGATGTCAGAAGCATATGCAAAACAATTCTAACTGACTTCCGGCAATTATTGCTTGCATTTATTTAGGAGGCTCTGAATGAGCTTGACACTTTGCTCCCAACAGTCTCCCACCAGGCCCAGCACTGCTACCTGAGGACAATGCTGTGGCCATTATTGCTTGTGAATACTGAGGATTAACTGTACACACAGGAACAGCTTATATATCATGAAGGCAACTGAAAACAGAAGACAGTCGGAAACAAACAGCTTCATTTTCCTGAATCAAGAATCCCGCTGAGTGGGATATAACTAAGTGTGCTGACAATTCTTGCATTTGGATGTTGCTAATGCTCTTTAGAAATACACATTGATCTATAGATATCCTTTCCAATTATTCACCATTTTAAAAAATAACATAATTTGATTTTAAGTGCAAAAATACAGTATGAGTCACAAGTCTCTGTGCTAAAAAATAACCAATTTATGTTATTAGTAATAAAAACCGTAAAGGTGGGTGACCATAAAGGATGGACACCATTTTCAATGTTATGATCTAGAAAGAAATAGGCTTGTATTTACATGTAGAAACTCTGATCATATCCTATCTATAAAGAAAGACAAGAGGGTCTGCCCGATTTATACAACACAGAAGGATGTCTTGACGGAAGTGGATGCGAGATGGCCAGGAACCTCGGGGAGGCTGCTCAAGTGCAATCCGACTGCTAGCAGTCTTCAAGGGATCAAGACTGAGGACAGTGAAAGGAACTCCCCGTGTTACAGTCTCAGCCTCAGGGCCTCTGGTTATCTGTCCTGGTTAGTTAGCACAAAGTGATCGGAGAGGAGAACGGACAAGCCCATTCCTTTTCTAGTGATGACAGTCAGAGAACTTCCTATGGCATGATCCAGAACTGATGGGTCCCGGGGTCGCCACTGTGGCACAGCGGGTTGAGCTGGCATCTCAACGGCTGCCGGTTTGAGTCCCGGCTGCTCCACTTCCAATCCAGCTCCCTGCTAATGCATCTGGGAAAGCAGTGGAGGATGGCCCAAGTCCTTGAGCCCCTGCACCCACAAGAGAGACCAGGAAGAAGCTCCTGGCTTCTGTCTGGCCCAGCCCTGGCCATCGTGGCCATTTGGGGAGTAAATAAGCAGATGGAAGATCCTGTAACTCTGCCTTTCAAATAAATAACTCTTTTTTAAAATTGATGGGTTTAAGAAACTAAAGTGATTATTCCTTGATTTTAATACTACCAATGCATCTATATTAGTGTGTATGCACACACACCTACGTATACACAGGTGTGTGTGCAGTTAGACGGGAAGAGATGGAAACCAAGGTTACTCTTCTGAAGGAAAGCCCCCGTCACTTCCCAGGTGGTATTTGCAAAGAGGAAAGCAAGAAGCCTACTAAATCACAAGAAACCAAGAACTGAGTACACTTCCCAAATTAAAAACCTAATCAGAAACACTGAATTCAAGTCAAGCCTCAACACACCCAGTACTGCTCTGTAAGTTCTGCTGGGGTTGATCCAACACCCCGACCTGTGGTACTGGGACACTAAATCCTTAGTCAAGAAATTTAATCAATTCTTTTGAAATAGTCCTTTCCCCAACGGCAACAAATTTTTGGAACTAAAGTTTTCACTTATTTATTAACCCCCCCCCCTTTTTTTTTTTGCTATGAAGCAAGCCAATGTGACTTGGAAGTCAAAATACAGGAATAAAGATCTGAACAGATCTAAAGTTACTTATTCACAGTCCTATAGGCTGAGACTTTTATTTATTAAAGGGAAATGGGCCTGGTAATACTCTCGATTTGAATAAGCTTAACAGTGTAGGGCTGGTGTGGGGAATATCTGACCCATGGGCCGTATAAGGCCCGCAAAAATCATTTGGCCTGGCCCTGCCAAGGTACAACCGGCAGAGTTGAAACTGAGTCCATTTATAGCTGGCTAACTTTTAAGTTGATAATTTTGAATGCTCAATGAATGATATAAATATCCATGTGGCCCTTGGCAGAAAAAAGTTCCCGTTTGCTGGTGTAGGGTAATGTATAATGAAAAACGCTAGAAATCTTGCTATTACCAGTCTAAGGCTATTTTTTTAGTTAGTCTATCGTGATAAATGGACAAGATTACATCATTTAGAGCTTACACCATTCTTGCGTATAGTTAGAAAATATTCATTAGTTTGAAAGAGACTGATGATGAGGGGGAAAATCATATAAAATGTATCTAAAGAGAACTAAGTCTTTCCCTTAGCATCCTTTGTTGTCTTTGCTCTTTGCATAAAGAGGCTACAGCTAAGGTAGCACATCTGCAGGTTTACTTGTGTATCAATATTCTGAGTAAATACTAGTAAAGCTTTAAGATCCCAAATGCTTCAATTTCACTGCGATGGATACAGGGAGTAAAAATACATTATGATTGCTTTAATATAACCCCTTGTATACATAATGATACTAACATAATTCATTCCTCCCTTTAAAATACCATCTTAAAATTAAAAAAAATCTATATATGCCATTTGAATGACCAACAAAGCAGCATACAAGTATGTACTACATACTTTTAGCTGTTTCTATCAATAGTTAATAACTGCCTGAAGTGCCACTAGCTAAAAAAAAAAAGTCATGGAGTGAGGTGAATTTGCGGGAAATTTACAGCTCATGTTGGTAACCTTGCAAGGGCTATAAGTAAAAAAGCATTAGCCCTATACCAAAAATTCCCATTTCTCAAGAGGAAAATGTGAGCACAGTCACATTTTAGCATCCAAAATGGAAATAATAATTAAGCAGTCAATACCAGATGCACAAATCACCTGAAGGGGGCGTGAAGTACCTGCTTCTAAACGGAAGATGAAACTGACCCTTTCACAAAAAGGGACACCTAGGTTTCTCCTGTTAAGAGCAACAGGCTCAATTTCCTGACTTTTTAAAAATCGCTGTGCTGAAATAACGTTCCAGAAGCATCTGCAGCACGTGACGCACGCGAGGAGCTGCCACAGGCCGGAGAAGACTCGGGTCTGCTCAGGACCGCCGAGGGCACACTATTTCTCAGCTACTGGCTGCTTCAAACACAGGGCCAATTTTTTTTTTTTTTTTTTTTTTTTTTGGTGGCAAATTTGCTACATAATCCACTTCAACAGACATGATCATTACTCCTGACAAATTGGCCTAATTCCAGATATATTGCCTTTAATTATGCAGTTATGTCTATGATTATTCAGAGCCAACCCCCAAGATGGATGGAGTTTACCCAAATCCTCTCAACCTCCTTCTTCCTCCCCCCAGGGGAAAATCAAACTTGTACTTCTGTGGGTTTGACAACTGAGTCTCTTTCAAGTCAGTTAATATGGTAACTCTGTCTTTCTTTACAAGAGACTGAAGGTCACTAACTTTGCACAAAAGCATTTCTTCTCCTGCACCTGGCTTTGCTCAAGTAATGTTTTCTTTTCTTTTTCTTCCTCACCACAGTGCTTGGGACGAGAATGTAAACATCGACAGAAACAGCAGCCCTATGACCACAAAAGTACTTTCCCATCAGGTAGATTCCATCAGCCAACTAAATGTTTCGTCTCCTTTGCTTGCTGGGAAGTCACTGAGATTTCCGTGGTAATTTAGTGTCCCCTTTACTTTGGCCTCCATCTGAGAAAAAGAGATGTTAAATTGATATGGATAGGCATGTCACAAAAAATAGGCAAAAACAAAGCAAAAAGAGCAATTAACTGTTAGTTTGTATGTGGATGGCGTTTCTGAGACAACCTTGACCGTCTCACAGGCTACTCAGCATTACAGAGATTGACTACACATAAAGGATATTTTTTAAAAAGTCAAGACCCATGATCCTCTTATCTCAATGACTGTGGTCGAGCTGGCTTTCTATGTCCTATACAGACTGTGTTTCAATAAATGCTTAACATTTACCTCACTGCCAAGTGCATCCACGCTGGGAGGATTACTGAAGAACTGAAAGACAGTCCCTACCTTCGAGGGACCAACCACTTTTAATCCAGTGCAAGACAAGGTCAATCTCACCTTGCTGTAAATGTAATTGAATCACTTGCCATGACAAGGCACTTGATAATTAGCCCCAATTATTTATGTAAATGAATACAACACGCTGGCAGTGAAAAGACCAGTGTTCCAGTCCTAACCTAGCTACGAGTGGCAGGAGAGTCTGCTGGGGAGCGATGGCTTCTGTTCTTACATACTGCTGTTCCGCTGTCGGCCAGGAGAACGCTGATTACTCCATAGGAGCTTCAGCTAAGTCACAGAAACTGCAAGAGGACAGAAAGGGCAACTACTAGGCAAGAGCAGGGTTCAGGAGCTGCAGAGCGAGCAGAACATGGACAAAGTCTGTAACAGGCCGGTGCCTTGGAAGAAAAACCAAGTCCCAGAGACAGCCCAGGCGTGAGAGAAAGCACGAGGGAAAGAAGCCTTCACTTTGCAGGAAGCAGCATGATGGCAGAAACGCACAGGTGAAGAGAACAAGTGACTGCACTCCAGTGGTCATACTGCCTGGCCATGTGTGTGACCTCTCAACACCTTGGAAAACTTAGAACAAAACCTGCTCCTACTGAAGAGAGATGTATCAATGAAACAAGAGGGTCTTCTCCAAGTTGTATGCATAGACGAGCATTCAAATAATTCTGGTGACAACTTCGGTTTTTTCATTTAAAGTAAGACATCATTTATCTACATTTGTAGACAGCAATGACTTGATCAGAGTTCATCACAAATGAAATTCTCAAAATGGCAAAGGTGCTTTTTAAACAGAATTGTGCTCAAAGCAGCTTTGGTTAATCGGCAAAATAAGACACTCCTATTAAGTGGAGTGGGAGATTATGTAGACCAGGGTTTGGCAAACTATGGCCCAAGAGCCAAACCATGCTCACCATGTGTTTTTGCAGATAAAGTTTTATTGAAACACAGCCATGTTTACATGCGTACTGTCCTATGACTTTTTGTACTACAATGATGGAGCTGAGCAGTTCCTGCAAAACCTAAAACATCTACTCTTTGGCTCTTTACAGCAGTTTTCTGCTGTTTCTTTAAGAGTAGGTAAGATTAAAAGCATCAACACTAACTGAGCTCTTACTACGTACTGGGTATGATGCTAGAAGCTTAAATTCCCATAGAAGTCTAAGAACATCGCGTCCACAGTTGACAAGCAAGAGGCGTGACGGTCCAGCGAGTTCAGAGGCTGGCTTGCTCAGTGGCAGTTTTGGAATCCAAAATTCCAAGCTCAGTTTTCACATGAGAAATTTTAAACTGGGTACCTTCAGTTATGTGGGAAATGCTGGCAGTCCTATTTGCCTCCTTGCTCTTGCAGACAATGAGACACTGCCTGTAAGGGCTACTGGGGTCCTGTTTAATGCCTCGCGTGGTCACATTCATGCCAATCTGCCTGCAGAAGCGCATAGGCCTCCGCCGGACTTAGCCCAGTAAGCAGCTGCTGGGAAGCCCAGGGAGGAGCTGCTGCGGTTACAAGGCTCCTCCCGTTAACATTTAAACCTACTCGCCTTCCGAAGGCGAGAGCTGCTAGCATCTTGCCTACTGTGTGTTACCCAGTTTGCACCACTATGATTCACCATTCATCCCAAGGGTGAGCTCACCACTGGGTCTCTTAGAGGCTTAGTGACGACCTGCTGCCTCAAGGCTGCCGCACAGCGCTCATGTCTGCCCCGTGAGCTGCTTCAAAGATAACTGTTCACACAAGGTCAGAGAGAACGACGGGGCCCGATCAACTCCCAAAGTGGAGGAAGCAGTCAGGCCGTTATTTCTTCTCAAAGGATGCTGACAACAGCCTTCAGGTTAGGGTCAGCAGTCCACCGAGGCAGCAGGCACATGGACCGGGGTCAACGCGCTAAGTGCAGCACCCACGGGCCCACATCAGGTTAGGCTGCGGCCCCACAGCGCAGTCTGGGTCCTGCCATTCTAATCATCGCCAAGAGAGGAAAGTTCAGCGGTCAGCAGTGCAGGCTGTGCAGTCAGCCGTGCTGGGGCAGGATCTCAGATCAAACCCTGGTCTGTCACCTCAGGCAAGCCACTCGCCTCTCTGGCTAAGCTGCCTGACCTGTGAACTGGGGACTGTCACCTCCACGTAGGCAACCTCAGGACTACCTGGCATTCAGTAGGCTTCCAAAGAGTGGAAATTATTGTAATTACTGAGTAGAACGACTTGTTCATGACCCTACTGGTCATTTCCCTACTCATCAATTCCATGTAATAAGCACCTCCGAAAAGGTTTCTTTCATACGGAACAAAGTTATCATTTACCTATTTGCTTTCTCTTAAAAGTCTGTAGCCAATGAGGATTCAGTCATATGAAAATTTATTTTTTTCCAATCTCTTTTCATTCCATTCACATTGTTTTCAGAAACGTATAATCCATATCTATGAACCTACATAAATAATAAAGAGACGAAGAAACAGGTGGCTTTCTTACCATGAAATGTTTGCTGTAAGTGTGTAGGCAGAGGTGAGTGGGAAAGTGGTGCTGCATGCTGAGCTCCTGGCTGTAAACCCTTTAGTAAATCTGAGAGGAAAACAGACTCGTCAGTGATCTTCTTCCAACTACATGTCGAGCCCTCTTAGAGCAAAACCGCAAATCATCCGAGTCCCTACGCCAGCCTGCCTTCACAGGTCTTCCACAAAGCAGAGCATATACATCCCCAGAGGGTACAGGCATACACGTTGATGTGTATGCAAACAACCCAGCAATTCCGACTTCCTCCTGTAGCTTTCATTAAGGAAGAAAAGTGGTAGGGATGATTCACTTGTTCCTTTTTGAATCTGTAAATAAAATCCTAGGGTCCAGTAATTTGAAAGTAATATGAAATAAACTGCATTTAAAAATATCTATAATCCTATTAACTCCAACTAGACTACTCAACCAGAAAACCCGTGTGAGGTTTCCTGCTCTGTCACACTAGACAGCCAAATAAACGAAAGAGCCCCACTTACTCTGAGTTAGGCTATGGTGGAGAGCGGCTGAGGTAGATCCCGAGGTGGTTGTCACTCCAGCTGTGTCCGTTCCAAAGCCAAGTAGCTCCAAGGGAAACTGGAAGGGCATGGTGACGGGAACAAGGCCACCCAGCATCCCAAAAGGACTCACATTCTGATTGGTTACAGACAAAGGTGACGTCATGAGAGTCAGGGGTGAGGCATTAGCCAACAATGGCGCTCCTGCTGTGGACTGTGCAGAAAGCAGGGGTCAAAACAGGCGAGAACCAAGTACTTAACCCACAGCGACTCAGCTTGTACTTTCCCTACTATTCTCATGGATGCAGGACTGCGTCTTCAAACTGTTCTAATTTCTGAGGCAAAAATTAAGACTGAGGTGAAGAATGTATTTTGAAAAGCTACCAACACTGGTTTTGAAAATCTGCAAACGACACGTGGAAACTCTGGATACTTGCTCAAGACTCCTTTTTAACTAAAGATCATTTTAACGGTGCCTACATCACATCCACTCACTCGCTTAGTTACTGACCTTAAACTTCTACTTCTCCACTTTGGCCGCTAGCCTGCTGACACGCACGGTCTCAGGAAATGTGCGTCTCCGTTTGTCTGACAACTGTGCTGGCGCAGAGCTGCAGCTCTGCCGGGCCCAGCCTTTCTTCCTACACATCGGAGACGAAGCCACCCCAAAGATTTTCTCATGACTAACCTTTCGAGCCTTTCTCCAAAGCGAACCTTTCGACCCTTGTCGTGAATCCTACCTGTAGAACCTTCTTACACCACTACCCGGGAGTCCACCTTTTCCAGATTTCCTCTGCCTTCTCGGATAAAAAGCCCTCATTTGTTCCTACAACCACACTCACTCCTGGTTGTTGTCTGGCTCCTAACAACAATGGCATTTGTGTACATTCCTTTCATTTTCAAGTTTACTGAATGGCAGACTCCACTGTCCACGTCAACTTAGTCTCCTCAGCCCTGGACAGCTGGTTTCCATCTCACTACTTTTGTGAAATCAGACTCTGTTAGTTAGGAGGAAATCAGTCTTTCTGTACTGTTCACCTGGGCATGCATGCCACGTTTATGAATAAACACTCATCAAAAAGAAGGTAATATTGTTGAGCTTTCATCGCGAAATCTTTTAGGTATACTCTAAGTTAATTTAATTCTTTGAACAACTTCCTATAAAGCAATTAAGTAATTCTTTTTTTCTATGTGCACTTATCAACAAAGATGTGATATAACCAAATCTTCCCGTTACCAGATATTACCTATTATAGTTTCTGGCATTTTGAGTTCCCTTTTGTAGAGCCTTATTTACCAAAACTAAATATCCCAGGTCAAAAAAAAAAATTGTTTTAGTCAGCAATGATAGCTAGTGTCAGTTTTACTTTGTGTCTAAGTTTATACACAATTTACTTTGTGTTTAAGTGTCACCAGTAAACGGCTGGTGGCTCCCTGTTCGCTCACACAGGTACTGAACAGAGCGACTGCACACTGAAGGGCTCATGCCACTGCTGAACAAAACAAGAAAGACTTCCACTCCAACTGTCTTCTCTCTCTCTGACGTTCTTTATTGGCTACCACTGAAATTTACTACAATATCCCAGAAAGTTCATGGAAAACAGAATTTAAAGTTTATTTTGATGCAAAAATCTTTGAAATTTTTCTAATTTTGTCATAAGGTACATTTTCCATGAACTTTCCGAATTACCCTGGCATAGCCACGGTTCTGGCCTCTTGTCCGGAGAGCTTCACCAGTGTTCCCACTGGATCTGACACTCCTCCACCCTGCGTGCCCACGACTGGGAGCTGCCGACAGCCTCCTCCTTCCCGACCACAACCGCGCAGGCCTCAGACTTCTCAGGCATCGCAAAGTGAAGGACCCAACAAGCTCACAGCCTCAACCCACGCTTGCTTCATTACCAACACTTCCATCTACGTTAAGTACAAACCCTCATAACTTCATGCTTGGACTTCAACTTTTCTTATTTGTCTTTTCTTCTACTGTGCCAGCCATGATATTCAAAGTGGGTGCATTTAGGGAAAAATGACCAAATCAGAAATAATAATGTTGGGGCCCGGTGCTGTGGTGTAGTGGGTAAAGCCGCCACCTGCAGTGCCAGCATCCCATATGGGCGCCGGTTTGTCCTGGCTGCTCCACTTCTGATCCAGCTCTCTGCTATGGCCTGGGATAGCAGTAGAAGATGGCCCAAGTCCTTGGGCCCCTATGCTTGCCTGCGAGACCCTGAGGAAGCTCCTGGCTCCTGGCTTCACTGCAGCTCTGGCCGTTGTGGCCAACTGGGGAGTGAACCAGCGGATGGAAGACCTCTCTCTGTCTCTCTCTCTCTCTCTCCCTACCTCTCCTTTTCTCTGTGTAACTCTTTCAAATAAAGAAATGAATCAAAAAAAAAAAAAAAAAGAAAAGAAAAGATTCTGTATCAACTTAAAAACCAACAAGAAGCGTTTCTTCTTTTTAATCTTAATTTTATTGCACTGTTAGGATGAGAGTCTCCAAAGCTGCGTGCCTCACTTAGAAGTCCCCTGATGAGGAATATTAAATAATGGAAATAAGGAGAACTTCTTCAGACTTTTCTGGAGGAGTCTAATCAAGCATTACAATAAATGGCAAACGATACTTGGGCAAGTCCAAAATCAAGTAACTTAGTATTAACAATCAAAACTGATGCCAGCCGTAACTAACATTTTACACTTCAAAGAGCTTCCATACCTACTTTTATATGTGTATCATCTAAACTGAAACTTCTGATAATCTAAGTGTTCTGAGGCACTTGTCCATTTCTCTATGCTAAAAGATGGAGACCTTTCAGAAGTAGGAGAATCTACAGCTGATAGCATTCAGGAACACGTAGGAGGCAAATAGTGCAGGATAATGCTTCGTAATGAAACATGTTTGCCATGACCTCTATATTTCATTCCCGGGGGAACATATGCAGGAAACAGGCAGTAAGTCTTCTTTTGAAGCCACATATTCTATTCTGGGGGGTATACCAGTCACTCCTTCTCCACCACACAGAATAACTTTCTTCCCTTTGCAGAGGGATCTTTGGAAGTGCACAGCAGACCATCCACTCCCCTGCTTAACATCCTTCAACAGCTTCCCACTGACCTAAGAATAAGCCCGAGTCCTCACGACGGCCGGCACAGAGCCCCAGCCAGGTTCTGTGCTTCCATCCGCTGTGCGGCCATGCTGGCCTTTGTCTTGGGCTCTGGCCTCTAGTGTTTTCACTCCTGCTCCCTTTGCTGGTCTGTGTTTCCCCCCTCCACAGGGCTGACGAGTGTTACCCCAGCACCTAGAAGAGTGCCCAGCACATAGCAGCAAACACTCAATCAACATCTGCACAGTGAACAGATGATTTCTGGAATTATAAAGTGGCAGAGACAAGACTCAGAGAAGCTGATGGGCAGGGAAGGAGCAGAGCCCTGCTCGGGGAAGAACTGAGGAGAAAGCGCACAGAGGCAGCAACTCAGACCCAGCCATTTTCTCTTCTGTCCTCTGTTAAAGGAGCGATCCTTTGCACCCTGCCAATGAGCAGACAATGCAGGTGTCCTTCACACAGGGCGAACCCTTTGCAGGCATGGATGCCAAGTCCGTGCTAAGCACTGGAGCGCCACGGACAGGATCTGGAGTCCACAGGAGACGGCTAGGCGCTCAGTGAGAAGCTGTGCTGGAACAGAAAGAATCTCAAGGTGAACCAGCCTCACTCCAGGACTTTCCTCCAGTCAAACCAGTAAGACAGGAAACGGGCCAGACAGGACAGCAGGGAGGGCAGTCTCCGATCGCAAAGCCTTTGTGGGAAGAAGAAATGAGCAGGGAGACTTGCTTTCCAGAACCACACTGCCATGCAGAATCCCTGCTGACAACCAAGTGCTTGTTGTCGGGCAGTGAATGGGTCCATTTGGAACAAAGGATCAAACACAGGGAAAAGCACCGAACCACTGGATTCTGGAGATGACAAAGGATGAAGAAAGATGTAACCCTAAGTTCAAATAAAATGAGGGAAGCGGGGATAATAAGCAATTTTTTACTCCAAAAAAACCCCTAAATTTATAACAAGAAAGCATATGAAACCAAAGTTTGCGGCACCTGTCTAAACACAGACAATTCTTGTTACTGATAGAACCAAAAACCGTGGTATTACTCTCTTGGGAAAATGGGGAAGTAAATGAGGACTAAAAGGCTCACCATAAGGAAAACTCAGAAGACAACACAGCACTGAAATTGATAAAATAAGTTCTCATGCATTATTCTTATTTAAAAACACAGTAACAGCTGAAAGTAGTTGGCACTGGGAAGGAGACCATAGGCAGAGAACTACCAGTTCTGAATCAAGCCCTTCACACACTCATCTGATCACACTTTAGACTGTCCTCCCCAAAAACGCTGTTAACGTTTTAGGAGGGACGAAGTAAACAGTAACACAAACTACTTCTCAGATCTCACCTATAATTTAAATTTTAACATATGATCTCTAACATTAACTTAAGCTACTGTCTTATTTCTGATGAAAGTCAAGTTACACAGATGAAACATTAGTTATTCCTAGACTGTGACTAACTGACTTTAGAATTCTGGGATCCAGGCACTCCTAAGTCTACAAGAGAAGCAATGCTGCTTGCAGGGTTAGAGGTCCTGAGCGGCAGGGACCCTCTGCAGGAAGCAGGAAGATGTCTCTCTGGGCAGCGCCCCTATCTCATGTACACAGGAGGCCGGGCACTTGCTACACAACACAATTCTTCAAAATGACAAAAGTTGGGGCCGGCGCTGTGGCGCAGCGGGTTAACGCCCTGGCCTGAAGTGCCGGCATCCCATATGGGCGCCGGTTGGAGACCCGGCTGCTGCTCTTCCAATCCAGCTCTCTGCTATGGCCTAGGAAAGCAGTGGAGGATGGCACAAGTTCTTGGGTCCCTGCACCCACATGGGAGACCTGGAAGAAGCTCCTGGCTTCGGATTGGTACAGCTCTGGCCGTTGCGGCCAACTAGGGAGTGAACCATCGGATGGAAGACTCCCTCGATCTCTGCCTCTCCTCTCTATGTGTAACTCTGACTTGCAAATAAATAAATAAAAACCCTTATAAAATAAAATGACAAAAGTCGTGTTTCCAGAAAATACTTGAAAATGCAACAAAGTGTACATCATCTAAAAAGGTGTATGTAGTTTTTAAAAAAGCTAGTTATGAAACAGTATTATACAACACACACATTGTTAAAAACAGTCTAAAAAAATTGGGCCGGCGCCACAGCTCACTAGGCTAATCCTCCATCTGCAGCGCCGGCACCCCGGGTTCTAGTCCCAGTCGGGGCGCCGGATTCTGTCCCAGTTGCTCCTCTTGCAGTCCAGCTCTCTGCTGTGGCCTGGGAGTGCAGTGGAGGATGGCCCAAGTGCGTGGGACCTGCACCCCATGGGAGACCAGGAAGAAGCAGGTGGCTCCTAGCTTCGGATCAACGCGCTGCGCCGGCCACAGCGGACATTGTGGGGTGAACCAACGGAAAAGGAAGACCTTTCTCTCTCTCTCTCTCACTGTCCACTCTGTCAAAAAATAAATTAATTAATTAAAAAAAAAAAAACAGTCTAAAAAATCACCTACAAATATAAAAGTGCTGGGGTGAGAGGTGATTTCTGTTTTCTCTTTTCTAAATCTTCCTATGGTGAACATGCATTACTTTCAGGAAAAACAAGTTAGGAAGCCAAAGCATTCATGTAAAGGGCAGATCTGAGCAAACCGCAGCACACAGAGAGGCAGCAGAGGGAGGAAACAATAAGGAACGCCAGGGAAGAGATGGGTATCTCAGTACCAAGCGCTCCAAACAAAGAAGCAGACAAAACCCTGAGGATAAACGGATCAGCCACAAAATGAAACAAACTATCCTTGAGCTGAAAAAGCAGCCAGGTCAGAGACTGAAGGATGTCACTAAAGTTCGAGGCACACACTTAATGAAACTTGACAAATCGAGCCATAGTGTACAAACACTGGAGTTTTACAGAAAGGCGAAATCTCACTATCATTTAGGCAGAGGAAACACATTACTTATAAGGGAACAAAACGTCAGGACGGCCTCACGCTTTTCTATAATCCCAAGTCCCAGGCAAGGGCCACTGAAGCAGCATTCCCGAACCCGAAGTGGGACCTAATGACCTGGTCAAGTGCAACAGCACAGAAATGCTCAGGTGCAGGGAAGCTCAGGGAAAACCACTCAGGGCACCTTCCTGGGAGATGCCCCCGGCAGCCGAGAAGGAAGCACGGAGTGAAACCCCGTGAAGAGGGAAACTGTGGGACTGAAAGGACTACGGACGCTAACTCAACAGAGAATTAGCCAAACGAAGCACTCCATTTGCGAAGATAAAAGTAATGGGTAGGAATCTGATTAAAAAACAAAGAGCGGGCAGGAGACAAGGCAAGAGACAAGTGAATGTATATTAAATTCTATCATCACTACTCTGTTCTGAACTAAGAAAGGTAGTTTTTTATATGCATTCTCATGGTTTTCAAAGGTTTTAAAGCAAACATGTGATAAAAATCCACATTCCAACAAAAACCCAACCCACAAACGTGTCCATCACAGGACATCAGCATCAGAGCACCCCCGGGCCAAGTGCTACGAACACGCTACACACCGTGTAGCACTCACGTCCGCTCCCGTTAATGTGTAGACATACATACCTGCACACTGGCTGTCACCACTGGAGACCCTGAGGCAGACGACGGTCTGTGTGGAGTAGACAACGGTTTAGCAGCACCCTGTGTTCCACTTCCTGTTCCCCCAGACAGACTAGTCCTATTCGCTCCACTCGAGTTATGGCTGCTACCTCTGCTGGCAGGTACATGTACTGCAGTTCCACTCAAGCTGCTCTTCCCAACAGTTCCGGTGGATGACGGGTTTGTTATCTTTGAAGGGGCCTGAAGATTTTTTGTAGACGGAAGGCCTGCAGTGCGGTTAGGGGGCAACAAATTCAAGGTGGGGGACTGTCTGCTGACGTTCACCCCCCCGGGCTGTTTATGAGCAGGGTTGTTACTGCTGGAGTGGCTGCTCTGGGCTACTAGTGCATTTGGACTCGAACAAGTCGGGGATACAGTAGGCTTGGGAGCTGGGTTGGATTTAGAAATAAGTTTAGTTGATACTGAAGGCTTAGCTGACAGAGAGGGCTTAGGCGAGGCAGAAGGCTTAGGTGAGGGCAAGGGTTTAGGAGACGTGGCAGGTTTAGGAGACGCCGCAAGTTTTGGGGACACAGCCATTGAGAAGGGAGATTTGAAACCCTGCGTGGAGATTTGTGACACCATTGCCTTGGCTAAATAGTTACTGGAGGTAGTGGTGCTAGGTGCTGTCCTGGAAACCAGGGGGTGGGACCCTTGAGAGCCATTTCCAGGTGAAGGGGTAGACAGAGGAAGGCGGTACACAAGCGGCTTATCTGAAGTCTTCATGAGCGGGGCTGAACAGGAGAGCTGGGGGTTACTACTCAGCTTCACCACGGGGTTCGTCTGGGATTTACTAATGGTTGCTTGCAGTGGAGACACATAGTTCTGCGGGACAGCTGAGTGCTGGTGCACCTTTGTGGCTTGCGCTAACGAAGAAGCATCTTGGGCCTCCGATGTTCCCAGAGCATGAGAGGAGGCAGCAGCTTGGGATTGGGAAGAAGAGGAGACGTGAGTCTGTGACGAGGAGGAAGCATGAATCTGGCTTGACCGCTGTAGTCCTTGCTGAAGCAGCCTGGCTGGCAGAGGTTCCAAGGAAACTTTCGGGTTCTGAATCGAAGACCCAGCAATAAGGCCTGAAGAGATGCCAGTGTGAGCTAAGTCCTGGGGTTTCTTTGGTACTGGCCCTGTGTGACCGGCTATAAGACTGGACGAGTGTGCAGTCGGAGAGGAGTCCAGTTTTTTGGGAGCTGCGAGTGGCAGCTTACTCATGATGCTTGCTAATTTTTCTTCTCTTAGTCCTGAACGAGGTTTCGCAGTTGGCAGGCTTACCCTTGAGCCAGCGGGAGGGCCCTTGTTCCCGTTATTGATAACAGCTAAAGCTTCGGAAACAAGATCCAGTGACGGCGAGTGGAAAGAAAGGTCTTCGTCCAGCGAGTCGTCGAGGCAGATGGTCTCCTGGGCTGGTGTGGAGCTGGAGACGACAGGCGCGGCGGCAGGGGTGCTGGGGCTTGCCGAAGGACCCCCAGCGGAAGCCACCAAGGCTGCGGGAGCTTTCTGGTCCTTTTTCGGACTACACTCCTAGCAAAGCAACAGGACAGTGGGAGAAACAACAATGGTTACTAAACAGTGGACCCCTGAGATGGCAGAGCTCCTGCCCGAGCTGTCTCCAGCACCGCACGTGGCAGCTGCACTCCAGGAAGCAATTCTAAAAGGAGGCCTTAACAACCAAACCAAGGCTGGACACTGTGCTACAGCAAGAGAAGCTGCTGCTTGCAAACCTACATCCCAAGTTTCAGCTCCTCTGATACAAACCAGCTTCTTGCTAGTGCACCCGGGAAGGCAGCAGATGACGAGTGCTTGGGTTTGCCACCCATGTGGGAAATCGGTGTTCTTGGATCCTGGCTGCAGCATGGCCCAGCCCTAGCTATTGTAGGTATCTGGGGAGTAAACTAGCAAACTGAGACCTTTCTCTCTCTCTCTCTCTCTCTCTCTCTCTCTCTCTGCTTCTCTGTAACTCTGCCTCTCAAAGAAATAAATAAATCTTAAAAGAAAAAAAAAAGGCACAGAACTGAGGTTGGGGAATATATCAGAATACTAGAAGTGTTACAAGTGTAAAATTGCTATTTTAAGTGACTTCTTAATCATTTTTCTTTATAAAAATAACATTAAATGTACACAATATTGTGTAGATTTATATTGGCAGACAAAATTGCACAGATATAATTGAATCCAAAAAGCAGGTATTTCATTTACAAAGACTGCTCCTTCAATAACTGAATGGTGGGGCTGGCACTGTGGCATAGTGGGTAAAGCCTCTACCTGCACTGCTAGCATCCCACATGGGCGCTGGTTCTAGTCCCGGCTGCTCCAGTTCTGATCCAGCTCTCTGCTATGGCCTGAGAAAGTAGTAGAAGATGGCCCAAGTGCTTGGACCCCTGCACCCACGGGGGAGACCCAGAAGCTCCTGGCTCCTGGCTTCGGATCGGCACAACTCTGGCTGTTGTGGCCAACTGGGGAGTGAACCAGGGATGGAAGACCTCTCTCTCTCTCTCTCTCTCTCTCTCTCTCTCTCTCTGTGTAACTCTTTCAAGGGTCAGAGGCGCCAACACTGGCCTCCTAGCAATAACTCTAGGAGCAATGACCTCACCTACTCACAGAAGAAGGGCACTGGCTTTCAGGACATGTTAACTCTAACTGATAGCAGTTCTGACTCCAGAGGTTACACTGGGTCTCTCCGAATCTAGTTAGTCTATTTTGATGATACTTTTTAATTGCCTCTTCTATTTTATTCAAAAATGTTAAGCAAAATTAGTTTCTGTTCTAAATTCAATAAATCTATGACTTGTCCTACTTAAGGATCTAATTCTTTTGCTTATCATTTTTATCACCTCTCTTTTTTTATTTTATTTATTTTTTTTGACAGGCAGAGTTAGAAAGTTATAGACAGTGAGAAAGTTATAGAAAGTGAGAGAGACAGGGAGAAAGGTCCTCCTTCCATTGGTTCACTCCCCCAATGGCCGCCACGGCCAGCGCTTCGCCAATCCGAAGCCAGGAGCCAGGTGTTTCCTCCCGGTCTCCCATGCAGGTGCAGGGACCGAAACACTTGGGCCATCCTTCACTGCCCTCCCGGGCCACAGCAGAGAGCTGGACTGGAAGAGGAGTAACCAGGACTAGTACCCGGCACCCCAGTCGGGACTAGAACCCGAGGTGCCACAGGTGGAGGATTAGCCAAGTGAGCCACGGCGCCGGCCTTTATCACCTCTTACTCATAGTAAATGAAAGCCGCATGTATTTCGTATCTGAGTGTAAGCTTGTATGTGACATGGTTTATACGTAAGCCAATCTTTGAAGCCGATGAAAACATCATCACCTGACAGAACTTGCTTTTGCCAGTTGCTCAAGTTTACAACCAACCCAATGACTCTGGGTTATTCTCTTAGCTTGGCAATTTTCTCAGACTATGCAGGTAGTATAACTAAAAGTCTTAAAGCAGGAAAAACTGGGGCCAGCACTGTGGCACAGCGGGTAAAGCCACCGCACTGCAGTGTTGGCATCCCATTTCCAATTCAGCTGCTCTCTGCTATGGCCTGGGAAGGCAGTAGAAGATGGCCCAAGTGCTTGGGCCTCTGCACCTACGTGGGAGACCTAGAAGAATCTCCTGGCTCCTGGCTTCAGATTGGCCCAGCTCCGGTAGTTGTGGTCATTTGGGGAGCAAACCAGCAGATGGGAGATCTCTCTCTCTCTGCCTCTCTATAACTCTGCCTTTCAAACAAGTAAATAAATCTTTAAACAATTTTTTTCAGGAAGGACTTTCTTCCCTGAATCTAGACACTAGGTTAAGAAAGGACATTTGCTTGGCTGCTTTGCTGGGGGGTGGATTTTTTCCTAGTACTTTCTTCTAAAGATGTTTTCCTTTGAGAGTCCAGGTTTAACACAGGCTTCTTTCCCATTTCTGACCTATGCAGCCTGCTACCTCTGAGAAGAAACAGAAGAAGTCACTAGACAACTGGCACCACCAAGGACTGTCCGAGATTCAGCAACAGGTCATCACCTGGCAGCTCCTTCTATGCTGTGGGGATTTCTCTTCCACATGAGACAGTCAGAACGTTCATGAAATACTTGCACTGTCTCTTAATTCCGTTTTATATGAATTTTTCAAAGCCCGTCAATATTTACAACCTCAACTATGCATTAAAAGAATATCTGCTGTATTTTATCCAACATTTTAAAGTAAATTAAACTTTATAATTTGATTAATATATGCAAATTTCCACTGCTATTCAGCCATCTTTTTCTCAAACACAAAGTTTCCAGGATTGTTACAAAGCAGGAAACACTCATCTTATAGTATCTACTAAATGGTGCTAAATAACGTAAATCCTTTTCTTCTGAAGAAAGCATTTCAACATCCAGCTCATGACTGAGGAGCTGCGATACTTACCTTTACTTTGGGTTTAGGTGCAGGAATCACCTTTTTCTTTGCCCTACAATAAATGATTAAAAACAAGGCCATTTCAGTAGCAATTATACCACTCATTAGGAAATCATAACACATAACCCTGTAATTATGTGGGTAAATAATCCCTTCCATTACTTGGAAAGCACTTCAAAGAGAAGAACTATACATAAATGCAGTTTATATGTGAACGTAAATATTTTCCCCATAGAGATTAACTGGGAAAAAAAAGCAAACAATAAAATCTTAAGTCTAAATGGCAAACATTTTTCTAAAAATTAAATGTAGATACAAAAAATAGAGTAAATCAAAACAGGCTAACAAAGCTACCTAACGACTCACTTCCAGAACTTAAAAGAATTTACAATTTTTTTTGTACAAAAACAGGGCTTCAATGAACTTTAAGCTCAAATTTAAAAATGCCAAGGCTGGCGCCGCAGCTCAACAGGCTAATCCTCCGTCTGCGGCACTGGCACTCCGGGTTCTAGTCCCAGTCGGGGGGCCAGATTCTGTCCCCGTTGCTCCTCTTCCAGTCCAGCTCTCTGCTGTGGCCCGGGAGTGCAGTGGAGGATGGCCCCAGGGCTTGGGCCCTGCACCCACATGGGAGACCAGGAGGAGGCACCTGGCTCCTGGCTTCGGATCAGCGCGGTGCACGGGCCAGCCACAGTGGCCATTTGGGGAATGAACCAACGGAAAAGGAAGATGTTTCTCTCTGTCTCTCTCTCTCACTGTCCACTCTGCCTGTCAAAACAACAACAACAACAAACAAAAACAGAAAAATTCCAAGAAGCTATGAATGAGATTTTAGTTGAAAACAAGAACAGGACTGGTGTTGTGGTGCAGTGGTAAAGCCACATTCTGCGATACCAGCGTCCCGTGTGTGCACTGCTTTCAATTCTGGCTGCTCCATTTCCAATCCAGCTCCTACCAATGCCCCTGGAGAAGCAATAGAAGACTGCCCACTTGTTTAGGCTCTTGTCACCCATATGGGAGACACGGATGAAGCTCCTGGCTCCTGCCTTCGGATCAGCTCAGCGCCGGCTGTTGTGCCCAACTAGAGAGTGAACCAGCGGATGGAAGACCTCTCTCTCTCTCTCTCTCTCTCTCTGTAACTCTGACTTTCCAATAAACAAACAAGTAAGTGTTTTAAAAAAAAGAACTGAAGGCGTGAGTTCTTTACACCTGCCCTGCTATGCATGCGTTGTTTCAGAACCACAGGCACGAATGCAGAGGTGTGGCAACCAGCCTCTTAGCAGAATACTGAATTCATGTGCTCAGTAACTTCCTAATTTTACTTACATCCATTATGTAAGTTGTAGATAAAGAGTTGATCAATATTTGCCCAACGGCATAGCAGATCTCTTTGTAGATTCTGGTTATTAACCCTTTATCTGTTGCATAGTTTGCAAATATTTTTTCCCATTCCTGACACCTGCCTCCGTCTGCGTGTCAGGAAGCTAAGAGACTCTCCTCAGTGGTCATGCCACTAAGGGGAACTCAGATGTGAACAAAGGCAGGAAATGAAGAACAGGCCAACTCTGAGGGCTCCACCCGTGGGGGCAGCACACAGCAGGCATGTACACGGAACTGTCCCGGTAAGCCCAGGGCAGCAGAAGGCCGCAGGTCACCTATGTAGACAGTCACAGTGCAGAAAAAGGGGTCACAGAAAGACAGGAGGGAGGAGGCCGGGAATAAAGGAGAACCCCTGACTGCCTGTCAGCTGAGCGTCAGGGATTCAGTAGCTTTTGAAGAGATCCTGAGAACGAGTTCAGTAGGCGCGTCCTAAGGCGCAACAAGTCAGCAGTCAGAATCACACTCTGAAAGGAGCCTGGGGCTCGGTGTTGTGGTGCAGTGGGTTAAAGCCCCGGCCTGTAGGGACGGCATCCCATATGGGCATCGGTTTGAGTCCCGGCTGCTCCATTTTGGATCCAGCTCTCTGCTATGGTCTCGGAAAGCAGTAGCAGATGGCCCAAATCCTTGGGACCCTGCACCCACGTGGGAGACCCAGAAGTTGTTCCTGGCTTCAGATCAGCTCAGCTCTGGCCATTGCGGCCATCTGAGGAGACCTCTCTCTCTCTCTCTCTCTCTCTCTCTGGCTTTACCTCTCTCTGTAACTCTGTCTTTCAAATAAATAAAAAAATAAAAAGAAAAGGAGCCTGGTGAGACTGCCTAACTATGTTCCAAATGCTACTCCAACAGCATTTAATACGACCAGAAGACATCTGGAGCCCGCATTTACTCACGGAGCAGAAGTGAGATGATTATGCACACTCCGGCTTTCCTTAAAAAGCATTCTGGAAAAATTAAAAAAGATACCATTCACTATTATTTTATAGCAGATACATGATAACTGTGTTCCCCATCTTTTTTAATCACTGGTTTTCATTAGGCTACTACTTATTTACCAAGTCAAAACTGGAATGGGATAATACATTCAATAACCTGCTTTAGGGAAAGCTTTGTGTCACCTCTACTTATTCAAGTATCTTGATAGAACAATAGATCATTTCTGTTGAATTAAGATGCAACATTTTAAGATGAGGGGTTGGGATGGCAAATTTTTATTAATTTTTACATTCCTTACTTTAAATAGAGCTACTCTTAGTTTCCTGAGATACTCTTCTAAATATACTATTTTCAACAGGACTTCAAACTTCCTCTTTTCTCATGCTCTAAATCCTGTATCCAGAGTTCCTTATCTTTCTATTACCTACATAGAGTTCCCGACCCAAAGCTCATCACTTTTCCCCCTCCATTTTTATCTACTAGCAAATTCAAGGTCAAAGAGGAAAAGGGGCTCAGTAAAACCTCCTCTTTATGCCTGTCTCTACCTATCTCTATGTCTGCATCAATGGTTTTGTCTTTCAGTTTCCAATGAAGAGATCTTCTGAAAGAAGTGGATAGGGTGCTTTCACACATTACATCACAGAATCAGTGTCATCATGTGGGTATGTGTAACTATGCGTCTTAGTAACAGCAATGATAAGGAAGCAAAATGAAATCTGTAAGTCACGTTTCTTACCTCGCCTGCATCCAGCCCTTGGGCCACAGGGGCTTCACCTCTGTCTCCATGAAGGATTTAAGATAGTCCTCAGCAGACTGGCTTTTATTTGGCTCTAACTCATAGCATCCCAATTTGATCTCAACAAGGTTACATAACAAAGTTCTAAACAGATTTAAAAAAAATTTATATATAAATCTGACTGCAGTACTGTAGAAAATTAAGTTTGAGATCGATTTTCTACAAATCACACAAATCTCACAGCAATAATACAGAATATTATCTTAGGAATTCAGGAAAATGACATGAAGCTAATTTCTAACGTATCGCTCATTTCATTATTTTATTATTGTATCAATCATTTTATTATTTATTATATATCAACATCCCCCATATGAAACAGTTTCCTTTGATACCTTCATTTACTATTTATTTTAAAGATTTATTTGTATGAAAGGTAAAGCAGCAGAGAGATCCTCCATTTGCTGGCTCCTCCCCAACAGGCTGCCACGGCAGGGCTGAGCCAGGAGCTCCATCCTGGGCTTCCCACAGCGTGGCAGGCACCCAGGATCTGGGCCATCTTCTGCTCCCTTTCCAGGCCCATCATCAAAAGTTGGATTGGAAGCAAAGCAGCCAGGACTCAAACCAGCCCTTCAGTCCGGGGGCTGGCATCACAGGTGGCAGGGAACACGCTGTGCCAGATTCACAGTGCTGGTCCCCCACTGAGGCACAGAACTCCACCAGGAAAGGCGGCTAAGTGAGCACAAGCCGCCGGGCCTGCACCTTCGGGACCGCTCTCTTCCAGCACCAGCAGCTCAGCCCCCACAAGGTACCTCGTGGAAACGACAGGGACCGCTCCAGCGCTACCAGGACCGCATGACTCTTCTGTAAGACGCTTCTCCTTCCGCTCACCTCTGCTAGCTTCCACCCTGTCTTCCAGCTACTACAGATTCTTTTCTGAGGAAGCTTTTCACTACACTGCATGCTTGGCTGACAGTCACGACTCGCTAAATCTTACCTAATGGTGTCATCCCAGTGGAATTTCTTTCTTGGTCCTAGGACACGTTTCCCTGGTTTCTCATCATCATCTTCCTCGGATCCATTTTTCTCCCGTTCTTCATCTGTCTGCAACCTAGAAATGAAAAGCATTTACAGAGAAGTTCTGCCCCAGCACTGTCTGTAACACGCTCGGCAAACCCTCGCTGCGGTCAGGAAGCGAATGGGAAGCAGGGACTCGACCCGAGACACTCTTCTGGAGTTACACAGTGGTTTGGTGAATGACACCGTCACACCACAACCACAAACACTCGTGATTTAGGTCAGAAAACATCTGCATCCAACCCCAGCTGGTCACGCTGGTCGGCGCCAGCTCTGGTTTTGACCTTATCTGTACACTGAATGAACTGACAGCACAAACAACTGAATGGGAAGGGACATGCTATTTAGAAAACATTCAATTATGAGCCGGCGCCGCGGCTCACTAGGCTAATCCTCCGCCTTGTGGCACTGGCACACCGGGTTCTAGTCCCGGTCGGGGCGCCGGATTCTGTTGCAGTTGCCCCTCTTCCAGGCCAGCTCTCTGCTGTGGCCAGGGAGTGCAGTGGAGGATGGCCCAAGTGCTTGGGCCCTGCACCCCATGGGAGACCAGGAGAAGTACCTGGCTCCTGCCATCAGATCAGCGCAGTGCGCCGGCTGCAGCGCACTGGCCGCGGCGGCCATTGGAGGGTGAACCAACGGCAAAAGGAAGACCTTTCTCTCTGTCTCTCTCTCTCTCACTGTCCACTCTGCCTGTCAAAAAATAAAATAAAATAAATAAATAAATAAAAAAGAAAACATTCAATTACATGATTTCAATGGTGTATGCAGATTTCCAGTGGAGGGTAAGTCCACTTAAATCAATCCTAGCAGCTCAAACATTTCTCACATGTAAACAGCAAGCCAAACGGAAGAACTACGTACTTGGCACACTTGGCCTGGCTGCGAGCCTGGCAGTCCTCCTGGTATTTAAACAGTTGCTCAGGCATGACATTGCTAACAGCCAGCTTCAGTTTCTGCAGAGGTTCTCTTAAACGATCATCCTGAGGAAAAAAACACATGAAAAGTTTTCCCAGACAGACTTAGAAGATTTAATTCTTAAGCACATTTTCAAAAAATGCTTTAGATACTGAATACAGCCTTGAAACGTCAGCTTGTCTAAATGTGGACACTTCCTGTAAAGCACGGACTTCCCAGAGGCACACGGACAGAAAACCCCGTCAGCTGAGCCCCGGATCCCGCTTGGCGCTCCAGCATATACTGAGTTCTCCCATTCCTACCTGTGACCCGTGTTTTGATGAATAAATTATAAGGACGCTTTTACTAAAATAGAAATGATTTGCACGTGCAGACTACCACTGGCTGATCCCGTTATGACTGCACTGCTCTGGAACGCCGTGGCAGGTGATCTAGCCCGGGGACTACCTGTTCTCTCGGTTGAGGTTCAGAAGTGTGACCTATGCTGCAAGCAAAAATGCAAGGGAAGGCCAAATGAAAGACGAAACTGGGACACTCTTGTTCACGTGGGAGCGGAGCAAGGAGCTAAGTAGATCTGTTCCTAACCCTCTGAATCAACTACTTTATTATTTCCACCTGACAAATAACATATTCTAAACATATTTCTATCACTGTCCTAAGCACAAAAAATATTTTATGATTTTGATTTTCTTCACTGTAACAATTTTTTTTTTTAAGATTTATTTAAAAGGCAGGGTGACAGAGGGGGAAAGAGAAAGGCTGGTCTTCCATCTGCTGGTTCACTCCCCAAATGGCTGCCACAGCCAGGGCTGGGCCAGGCCGAAGCTGGGGGTCAGGAGCTGCATCCATGTCACCTATGTGAGTAACAGGGTCCCCAGTACTTCGGCCATCTGCTGCCTTCCTGGGACATTAGCAGGAGAGCAGACTGGAAGCACGGAGCGGCCAGGATTTGAACCAGCACTCCAATATGGGGTGCAGGCATCCCAGCAGTGGTCTGAACTGCTGCAACAGACTACTCATCCCAAAACAACTGTTTTTAAAATGTGACTTTTGGGGGCTGGCGCTGTGGCATAGTGGGTAAAGCAGCTGTCTTCAGTGCTGGCATCCCATATGGGCGCTGGTTCAAGACCCAGCTGCTCTACCTCGAATCCAGCTCCCTGCTATGGCCTAAGAAAGCAGTAGAAGGTGGCCCAAGTCTTTGGGCCTCTGCACCCATATGGGTGACCTGGAGGAAGCTCCTGGCTCCTGGCTTTGGATCAGCCCAGCTATGTCCGTTGCAGCCATTTGGGGAGTGAACCAGTGGATGGAAACTTCTCTCTCTCTCTTTCTCTCTGCTTCTGCTTCTCTGTACTCTGCCTTTCAAATACATAAATCAATCTTTTTTTTTTTTTTAAAGAGTGTGATTTTTGGTGCAGAGATTTTTTACATAAATATTATTACCAGTACGCATTTTAGCCCATTTGGTGCATACAATTAATAATTATTGTATGACAGTATCTGCTCTAAATCCCATGTTAAAAAATGTGTATGCTTATCCTGATTTGAAAATATAATATATATACGTATCAGAACATTGCATGGTACTCCATTGATATGTAAAGTTTTTACATGTCAAATAAAAATGTTTTTTTTTTAAGGGAGTTTATATGACTGTTTTCCTACTTGCAGTTCTTTTCTATTGGTACTCATTTCTGTCAACTGAACTTAGGGCAGTTAAGCCCCAGCTGCCCACTGTCGGAAGGAGCCAGGCAAAGTACAAAATCTGAGATCTCAAATAAATTTCAATTTTACACTAACCTTTGCATTTAAAAAGAACTACAGGGTATGCCTGTGGCCTAGCAGAGCTCCGGCAGGGTGTCCAGGTCCAACCCCTCTCCAGCTGGACCGACTCCCACAACCCGTGTGGGAGACCTGGACTGCCTTCTCAGCTCCTGCCTCCGCGTCTGGGGAAGGAACTAGTGGACGTGAGCATCTTTCTCTATCTCTTGAATGGTAGCAAAAAATAAAGGATTCTAGTTTCTCAATTCAAAGCGAGTATTTATTAACAGAAATGAATACCTGTATAAAGCATTCTAGGCTTGTCAGATCATACCTACTACATGGGCTTACACTCCAAGAATCTACATCTCAGAAAACATTGCTTTTCATCTAACTCTACCAACTGTTCAAGAAATAATTATTTTCTCAGGAACCAACATGCCTTTAATAATCTCTGTGGTTATGAAATACACAGAACAAGACTCTAACAATTAATATGCTGAAGTCCCAAGTAGAAACAAGTTCTTTACAGGTAACGAAACCCCGAACGTCGTTGTTTCTTCTCGTACCTGGACATTGAGATGTAATTTCTTTAGCCGTTTTACCAGGGTTTCTTTATTGCACGGCACAAAAGCTTCCAGGTGGGAGTAGACACCACTACGGGCAACAGGGCCTAGTTCTTGTAGCTGTAACTCAATGCTGACCAAGAAAAATCAACACAAATCAACCATGAGGAATTTTTTTTAGGTAGCATCACATAGGAAAGAAGGCAAATGCAACTCATTCTTGTTCGTATTTTATCTTCCTATGATCTCCTAGACAGTATCTTTAATGCAACAAAAACTTCACCAATGAACAGTAACGGTAGAGAAAATACGATTCTAGCTTAGGAATAGACTTTATATGACTACAAACAATCTAGAAATAGTGTTTTTTTTGTGTATGTATGTGTGTACAAGAGCAAAGTCTATGGTTTCGGTAAAGCCCAAGAATTCCATTATTAATCAGAATCTCATTCCCTCAAAAAGATCCTGCTACCCGTCTGCCCTGAGACAACAGGTTGCAGAGTCACATCATTTCACTAAGTTCCTGAGGTGTTTTTTCTTTAGAGGTGCCTGACAAAAGGAAAGATCCGAGAGAGGGGAAAGCCCCTCTGGCTGTGCCCATTCACTGCTTCATCCATCTGCTTGTCCCTGATCGTGCCTGGCGTACACAGGACAGAGTCAGCAGTTTGTTCAGTTTATTCCAATTCTCCAGCTCCAACTTCTATTCACAAAATGCTTTTGAGAAAGAACAAGCTGTTAAGTATGTATGTAATCTAATCGTTCTTTAAAAAAATAAAGTAAAACCATTTCTAACAGCCATCTTACTTTTAACAAGACAAACCTACTAATAAATAATTGAGGGCAGGGTCCACCAAGATGGAAGACATTACACTGGCAACTGCTACTGTAGAAAGCTGAGAACAGATGTTGACTTGAAAGCCAAGGCAAAACTGGAGCTCTTGATGATAAACTACACTCACATCATCACATTTATTACAGAAGGTGCAGACTGACTTAAGTACTTCTCAAAAATGCAACATACACCTAAAGAGTCAATCAATAGGTTTTTTTTTTTGAAATAAAACTAACCTAACTATATCAACTGTACTTATCATTTCTAGGGTACATCTCAATCTCAGAAAAAGATTTGGTATAACTAAACAAATAATAGAAATGGCAAGAAGGGCCCAGCACTGCGCTGCACTGGATGAAGCCGCCACCTGCAACACAGGTATCCCATGTGAGGACTGGCTCAAGTCCCAGCTCCTTGCACTTGGGAAAGCAGCAGAAGATGGCCCGAGTCCTTGGGCCTTCACCACCCACATGGGAGACCAGGAAGAAGCTCCTGGCTCCGGGTTTCTGCCTGGCCCAGAATCAGCTGTTGCAGCTCTGGCGAGTGAATCAGTGGATGGGAGATCTTTCTGTCTCTTCTTCTTTATCTTATATAGTTTTTCCTTTTTAGAAATTTTATTTATTGAGAGGTAGAGTTACAGACAGTGAGAGGGAGAAAGACAGAGAAAGGTCTTCCTTCCGCTGGTTCACTCCCTAAATGGCCGCAACGGCAGAATTATGCTGATCCGAAGCCAGGAGCCAGGAGCTTCTGGGTCTCCTACGTGGGTGCAAGGGCCCAAGGACTTGGGCCATCCTCCACTGCCTTCCCAGGCCATAGCAGAGAGCTGGACTGGAAGAGGAGCAGCCAGGACTAGAACCAGCACCCATAAGGGATGCCGGCGCCACAGGTAGAGGATTAACCTACTGTGCCACGGCGTCGGCCCTTATCTTATATCTTTCAAATAAATTTTTAAAAAGGCAAGACGTTTAAGACCTACAAGAATCAGAGTCAAAGCAAGGGTTCATATGTGGAAGAATCATTACGGGTCATGGATTTTGTATACAAACATTGGACTAGAAAACGGGGCTGCTGGGACCCATGCAAGCCCTCACCTGCAGTGCCAGTATCCTACATGGGCGCTGGTTCAAGACCCGGCTGCTCCAGTTTCAATCCAGCTCTCTGCTATGGCCTGGGAAAGCAGTGGAAGATGGCCCAAGCCCTTCCTAGAGGAAGCTCCTGGCTTTGGGTTGGCCCAACTCTGGCTGTTGTGGCCATCTGGGAAGTGAACCAGTGGATGGAAGATCTCTCTCTCTGCCTCTCCTTCTCTGTGTAACTGACTTTCAAACAAATAAAAAAAAATCTTTAAAAAAACAAAAAAGAAGCAATGATGAGACAGAACCAATATACCTGGATAATTTAATAGGAATTACTTCCCCAAATAATCACATATCATATGTCCTTACAATAGCAACTCAGTTCAGAACTATCAGGCATGCTTGTTTAGGAAGTGGAAAGAGGTCAAGGAAATACAAAGATGATTAAAAGGGAAAAGGACTCAGCTCTGAACAGTACGGTGTGTGGAATCAGAGGCACACCTCTGTAACATAAAAAGTAGGCGGGTGCCAAAAACTCCAGGATCTATTTTCAGACAGACGTGGGAGAAGCAACCCGAGAAGCCAAGGACAGAATGCTGACCCTCTGCTCGTTCGAGATGCCGTGCCCCATGTGCTTGACTCTCCAGGAGAGAAACAGCTCTCCCCGCTTACGGAGGAGTAAAATGAGAACGCAGAGTCTCAGTCCCAGAGAGGGGTCTAGTCCAGCCCACTCAGGACTCGCTGGAGAAACAAGAGCTGGCCCGGCCCCTGACTGTGGCATCTGCGCAGCCTCATGAGCAGTGGCTGCGTTGCGAGTGAGTCGAGAGGTGAAGCGCAGTGGTGCAGAGGGGAAGCACTGATGTGGCTTCCAAGCAGGCCCAATCCACCTGAAAATCCCTGATAAGCCAAGCACAGAGATGAGACGCCGCTCTGCTACGACACCAGCAGTACACCAGCTCATATTCTTCCTGAGTCCATTCCAGCTCTCCAGGAAAACAGAGCTTGCAGCCATAAAAATTATCACAAGTTAGACACCAATCAGTTCTCTGAATCTCACGAGAAACTCTCCTCATTACGTATTTAAAAGACAGGTGTGAGCACGGTTAGCCTCGCAGTTTGGACGCTGGTTAAGACACTTGCATCCTACACTGGACTGATTCCTGACTGCAGCGTCCTACCGATCCGGACCCTGGGAGCCCACTGCACTGGCGCAAGTGGCTTCCTGCTACCCAAGTGAGATGGCATTCCTGGCTCTGGCTTCGACCCCCTGGCTGTTACAGGCATTTGGGGAGTGAACCAAAAAATGGACGCTCTCTCTGTCTACTTCTCAGACTCTCAAGTACATTAGAAGACAAGACAGGAATACTATTACAGAAACACAGGTTTCCTGTGTTTCTTTAATTTAATTTATTTTTCTCATTTGATTTAAAGGTGGAAACACAGAGAGATCATCCATCTGCCGGTTTGTTCCCCAGATGCATGCAGCAGCAGCTGGGGCTGGCCCAGGTCGAACTTCATTTGGGCAGCAGAGAACCAAGTACGTGAGCCATCACCTACTGCATCCACAGTACACATCAGCAGAAGGCTGGACCTGAAGCAAAGGAGCCAGGACTGGAAACAGACAGACACGCAATGTGGGCAAGCCAGCTGCATCTTCAAGGGTACGCCAAATGCCTGCCCTGTTTTCCTATATGATACTACTCCATCACCAATGACAAGTATACATTATTTTAACCAGAAGTAAAATACACTGCTTTCTCAATGATCACAGTTTTTCCCAGTTCGGTGTGTAATTATATACCCAATTCCTAACCAATGGTTAAAATTTATGAGGCAACAGATTTGCAAGTACCGTATAGGTTACATGACCACAATCTTAAAACCCACAGTTACATTAGTATCAAACTGAATGCAAAATCATATTACAAATGCTGCTGATATGAATACAATCTGTACCACGTAGCAGCCTTCACCTCCTCAGTTCACCCTGTCCTGTCTTCTCCACACTACCTCCATCCACCCCGACAGCTGTGATTCCTTTATTAAGTCAGACTTTCTATTTCACTAGAAAACTTCGTAGGAATTACAATTAACCTCACTAGGTATCAATGGAACTATCTTTCCTAAGTCTGCATAGTGAATGTAGAAGGAAAGTTATAATGAGTCTATATATATACTCTAAACTTTCTCAGAAAGATGTTTTCACATAAGGTGACGTAACAACCATTTAAATCTAGTGTAACAGTCGAGGTCATTGGCTTCTGCAGTTATAAACACTGGAACCCTCGACTGCAGCAGGCTCATCTTGCTGTGAAGCAATGTCAATCCCACGTGCTGTGAGGCTGGGAGGGAGGAGCTAATGCTTGAGCCCAGCCACACTCTGAGCATCAGTTTCTCAAAGGCCTACTATACTATTTTTGTCGCAAGACATGGTGAGTACTAAATGCTTTTGTACTTCTTTACTTGAGAGATAAAAGTTACAGACAGAGCGGGAGAGATAGAGAAGAAGGTCTTCTGCCTGTAGATTCACTCCTCAAATGGCCAAAATGGCCAGAGCCAGACCCAACTCAAAGCCAGGAGCTTCTTCCAGTCTCCCATGTGGGTGCAGGGCCCCAAGCACTTGGGCCATCTTCCACTGCTTTCCTAGGCCATAGCAGAGGGCTGGACCAGAAGTGGAGCAGCCAAGGGGCCGGCATTGTGGCATAGTAGCCTCCAGTGCCTGCATCCCATATAGGCAGCAGTTCGAGTCCTGGCTGCTCCTTTTCTGATCCACCTCTCTGCTATGGCCTAGGAAAGCAGTGTAAGATGGTTAAAGTGCTTCAGCCACTGCACCTATGTGGGAGACCTGGAAGAAGCTCCTGGCTCCTGGCTTTAGACCAGCTCAGCTCTGGCTGTTGTGGCTGTTTAGGGGGTGAACCAGAGGATGGGAGATCTCTCTGTAACTCTACTTCTCAAATACATAAGTACAATCTTTAAAAAAAAAAAAAAAAGAAGAAGAAGAGCAGCCGGTACGGGAACCAGCACCCATATGGGATGCCCGCACCACGGGCAGAGGCTTAGCCTACTGTGCCACAGTGCTGGCCCTGGCCTACCATACTTTAAGGCTTTTTAATAAAAGAGGAAAGTACTTACTCTAGAAGAATATTATTCATATCTTGTGTAAAGAATTTTTTCCTTCCTTCTTCATCAAAAAGTTTGGCAGCCTAGAGAAACATAAGAAGCATGATCAATATCACTCACACTAAACAATTACTCTGAGATGCATTACCTAATGCAAAAAAGGAATTCTGATCAACGGAACACCACATGAGCTGTGATCAATGGTCTCCCAGGGCTACAAGAGATTCAAGTTTAACTGGATACTGTGTGCACTTCTTGTACCTGCCATAACAAATAACCACCACAAAAGTTGTTAAAACATAAATTTATTCTCCCACAGTCTGAAGTTCAAAATCATCCTCACTTTACTGAAATCAAGATGTGAGAGAGTCGAGCACTCTCCAGAGTCACCAAACCCGAAGGCAAGTCGAGTCAGGAACCAGACCCAGGAAGCACAATACACAGTGTGGGCAGCCTGAGCGGGTCGCAGCCACTGCACCCATCTCCCGCCCCGTATCTCAATCTTCTAAAACTCACAACATTACACATTCAAGACGTTTTAGAGCTTTGTGTATCTTATGTATTTTGGCTATATGTAGGTTTATTAATTCTATTTAAGGATTTTAATTTGATTTGAAAGACAGAGAAAGATCTTCCATCTGCTGGTTCACTCCCCAAAAGTCTGGGCCAGGCTGGAGTTCTAGCAAGCTCTATGTGGGCAGCAGGCTGAACTGGAAGCAGAGGAAACTAGACTCACAGCTGGCACTGTGATATGAGTGTGTTTTAAGCAGTGACTTAACTGCTGTGCCAAATGCCCATCCCTGTTTATTAGTTCTTGCTGTAATCCCCAAGGAAACAGAAAGAGGTTTCACTTTCTAGAGACATTATGGATTACCCACAATTCCTCTGATATTCTATTATATTTTTAACATAAAAAAAAAAAAACTTTGAGAGGCAAAGAGAAAGACAGAGACAAATATACAGAAAATGAACCATCTGCTGGGTCACTCCCCAAATGCCTGCAATAGCCAGAGTTAGGCCAGGGCTCAATCCTGGAGCCAGCTCAATCCAGGTATCCTATACTGGTGGCAGGAACCCAATACTTGGGCCATCATTGTTGCCTGTCAACTGCTTCCAGGAAGCTGGAGCCAGGAATTGAACCCAGGTACTCTGATGTGAGATGTGGGTATCTTAACCACTAGGCCAAATGACCTCTCCAATTATATACTTCACCCTGATTACCATGTTCAATCCTCATATCAAAATCACTGATATGACAGTCCCCATCCCACAAACGAGGAATTTAAACCTGAGACAGGTTCCATGATATGACCCTATACTGAATCGCTAAGAAGTGTCGGATGCAGGATTCCGACCAGAAGCACCCTGAGGTTCAACTGGGCAACACTGGCACTCAGCACAGATACAGGTTTACCACAGCCAGTCTGGATTCAACCTGATAAACAACTGGCCATGGTCATTATCAAGGGATAAGCACAAATGAAACAAACTTACAGATAATATTCTCATCACCACGTTTCCAACTTTCACCGGCAGACCAGAAACAAAGACTTGGTACACCAAGACATTCTGCCTTCATCAACAGAAGCAGCATTTACCGAGGGAATCACAGACACAGCTCACCTTCAGCGCTACTGAGAAACCTGATCTAGGAACCCGAGCAGCTCATATACCTCCAATCTACCTACCTAGGACACCTTACACAGCCTTAAGGAGAACACACAAATTTGTGAGACAAGCATCCCAGACAGAAGAAGCTTGGGCTTGCACAGGGCCAGAAATGTAGGAAGAAAGCGAGAATGAAAACTAAACTGCAAGAAAGGGAATCAACAAATGACAAGAGAGAGGACGTTTTACGCAAGAGTTCAGACGTTGCTTCAAACGCTCACATCCCAGGTCTGGATGCCAGGGTTTGAGCTCCAGCTGTACTTTATTTATTTATTTATTTATTTATTTTTGATGGGCAGAGTGGACAGTGAGAGAGAGAGACAGAGAGAAAGGTCTTCCTTTGCCGTTGGTTCACCCTCCAATGGCTGCCGCGGCCGGCGCATCACGCTGATCCAATGGCAGGAGCCAGGTGCTTCTCCTGGTCTCCCATGGAGTGCAGGGCCCAAGCACTTGGGCCATCCTCCACTGCACTCCCTGGCCACAGCAGAGAGCTGGCCTGGAAGAGGGTCAACCGGGACAGAATCCGGCACCCCGACCGGGACTAGAACCCGGTGTGCCGGCGCCACAGGTGGAGGATTAGCCTAGTGAGCCACGGCGCTAGCCCCACCTCACATTTCAAAGAAAAATATGGGGAACGCATATGTATCCAGTAGTCAAATAACCTCCCCATTAATAATTTCCTACTAAAAGGTTAGAAGTTGTATTAATCCAGGCATGGGGTGGGTGCTGTGGCAGAACGGGTTAAGCTGCCATGGGGGACACCCACATTTCCTATCAGAGTGCCAGTTCAAATGCTGGTTCAAGTCCCATCTACCCCACTTCCAATGCAGCCTGACCATGTGTCCAGGAAGAAGCAGATGACGCTCAAGTACTTGAGTTCCTGCCACCCACACAGGACACCTGGAAGGAGCTGCTGGCTCCTGGCTTAACTCCAGCTGTTGCAGCCATTTGGGGAATAGACCAGTGGATGGAAGATCTCCCCTCCTGTGTTTCTTTTCTCTGACACTTTGCTTTTCAAATAACTCAATCCTAAAAAGAAAACAAATCCTGGCATAGCTACTACAGAGATCACTGACATGAGATGTGGCAGAGCCTCACAAGACAAATACTCCTCATGAACCAAGTCTATCCATGAAGTGGTGACAAACGTCACACAATTCAGTAGACAGAGTGCCAGTCGTGGGGCTCGATGGTCGGGAACTCAGTCCCGAGTCCTGAATCAGGCCACTGGGCTGACCGTTACCTCCTTTCTTCTTAGTTACTTCCTCATGTGCTAACTAGAAGCAACACTACAAACACTCTGACTGCTGGCAGGATTCGACTACGCAGAACTTGAAACCCATCCATCTGTGTTGCAGCCATTGTCCTCTGTGAGGGGAACGAGGCTGGGAAGTGGTGGCACACAGAAGCACCACACCCCAACACTGTATGGCACTGATGCTTGTCAAATAAATAAAACAATTAACAATCAAATCTAAAAAAATCCCAACTAAAACAATTAATAATCACATTCTAAAAACCAGAAGAAACTAAAGATTGTAGAGGCGGTGCCATATGATAGAGCAGCATTTCTAAGTTGGGTGAAACTAGATAATTAAGTTATTCCCACCACTTAACTTATCATGTGGCCTTGACTGTTACTTAACCTATCTCCACTTAAGGTTTTCCACCATAAAAAGGAAATAATACCTACCCCTCACTTAAGGGAGGCGTGGGGAGCCTTTTTGCTACCAAGGGCCATTTGGATATGTACAACATCATTCACAGGCCACACAAAATTATCAATGTAAAAATTACCTGTTACAGATTTACTGAATTTGGAGTCCTGACTGTGGCTGCCTTGCAGGACGAGACAAAATGCTTTCGTGGGTTTCAGACAGCCCACAGGCCTGATATTTCCAACATCTGATTTACAGAGTTGCTGATAAGATTAAAAAATGAAAACTATTTCATTAATAAAATTGTAAACTCATTGTTAAAAAAAAAAATAAAGGGCTGGTGCTGTGGCGTAGCAGGTAAAGCCACTGCCTGCAGTGCCAGCATCCCATATGGGCGCTGGTTCAAATCTCGGTTGCCCCACTTCCAATCCAGCTCTCTGCTGTAGCCTGGGAAAGCAGTAGAAGATGGCCCAAGTCCTCGGGCCCCTGCACCTGCGTGGGAGACCCAGAAGAAGCTCCTGGCTTCGGATTAGCCCAGTTCCAGCCACTGCAGCCATTTGGAGAGTGAACCAGCTGATGGAAGACCTCTCTCTTTCTCTTCCTTTGCCTTTCAAATAAATAAATTGTTAAAAATAATTAATTAAAAGAAAAATGAGAAAACAAGAAAGCAAAAATATAAAAGAAAATATAATAAAGGTCAATTGTATTACTGACAGCTGTAGGTCAGATAAAACCAAAAGAGAAACAGAAGGACAGGAGCTGGGGTCAGTGTGTAAAGCTGCTGCATGGGACAGTCACAACTCACACTGGAGTGCCAGGCATAAGCCCCACCTCCTCATCGGATCCAACTGATGCACATCCTTGGAGACAGCTGGTGATGGCTCAAGTAATTGGGTACTTAACACCCACACGGACACCAGGAAAGAGTTCTGGGCTCCTGGCTTTAACCTGGCCCAGCCTTAGCTACTACAGACATTTGAAGAATGAATCCACAGATGGAAGACCTCACTCTCTGACTCTGATACCCTCGTTCTGTCACTCTGCCTTTCAAATAAATGAAAATAAGTAAAAATAACAATTACAATCAAATAAAAATACATAGAACAAAATAAAAGAGAAAAGTTTAGGCCAATAAAAATTGTTATCCAAATGCTATCTATAAAAGAAAGAGCTAGGGGCCAGCGCTGTGGAGGAGTAGGTTAAGCATCCGCCTGCAGTGCCAGCATCCCATAACTGCACTGGTTCAAGTCCCGGCTGCTCCAGTTCCGATCCAGCTCTCTGCTGTGGCCCCTGCACCCATGTGGGAGACCCAGAGGAAGCTCCTGGATCTTGTCTTTGGATTGGGCCAGCTCTCGCTGTTGCAGCCATCTGGGGAGTGAACCAGCAGGTGGAATACCTCTTTCTCTCTCTCTTTTTTTAAGACTTTATTTGAGAGGTAGCGTTATAAACAGTGAGAGGGAGAGAGAGAGAGAAAGGTCTTCCATCTGTTGGTTCACTGCCCAGTTAGCCACAATGGACAGAGCTGAGCCAATCCAGAGCCAGGAGCCAGGAGCCAGGAGCTTCCTCTGGGTCTCCTGCACAGGTGCAGGGGCCCAAGGACTTGGGCCATCTTCTACTGCTTTCCCAGGCTACAGTAGAGAGCTGGATTGGAAGTGGAGCAGCTGGGACTAGAACCCTTGCCCCTATGGGATGCCAGCACCACAGGTGGATGATTAACCTACTGTGCCACAGTGGTGGCCCCAGAAGACCTCTCTTAACTCTACCTCTCAAATAGATTGAGAAAAAAAAAAAAAGTCAGGTGTCAGCATTGTGGCAAAGCAGGCAGAGCTGCTGCTGCCTGCAATGCTGGCTGCTCTGCTTCCATCCAGCTCCCTGCTAAGGCCTGGGAAAAGCAGAAGATGGTCCAAGCACCTGGGTCCTTGCTACCCATGTGGAAGACCTGGAAGAAACTCCTAGCTTCTGGCTTCGGCTTGTTTTCAGGGAGAGAACCTGAGGATGGAAGATCTCTCTCTATGTAACTCTTTCCAATAAATAAAATTTTTAAAAAATAATTGAGGAGGCCGGCGCCGCGGCTCACTAGGCTAATCCTCCGCCTAGCGGCGCCAGCACACCGGATTCTAGTCCCGGTCGGGGCGCCAGATTCTGTTGCAGTTGCCCCTCTTCCAGGCCAGCTCTCTGCTGTGGCCAGGGAGTGCAGTGGAGGATGGCCCAAGTGCTTGGGCCCTGCACCCCATGGGAGACCAGGAGAAGCACCTGGCTCCTGCTTTCGGAACAGCGCGGTGCGCCGGCCGCAGCACGCTGGCCGCAGCGGCCATTGGAGGGTGAACCAACGGCAAAGGAAGACCTTTCTCTCTGTCTCTCTCTCTCTCACTGTCCACTCTGCCTGTCAAAAAAAAAAAAAAAAGGAAAATAAAAAATTGAAGCAAAGATGGGAAAATCTGCACCATGCAAAAATAAAGAGACGTCTACAATTTTAACATTAAATTCAAAGTAAAAAGCACTAGTAGGAAAAAGAGTCAGCAACAGACGGCAGTCATCACGACCAGGAAGTCATCAGGAGTCCCCGTGGGAAGGCGCCCACGCCGTGTCTCGTGTACACACGTCTCAGCTCAACAACCAGAGAAGCATCTGACTCTTGCTTCCTGCTAATGCTGATCGTGGCTCAAGTGACTGGCATCCTGCTGCCCATCTGGGAGAACAAACTGCACTCCTGGCTCCTGGCGCTCGTGCCCACTGCAGCTGCTGCAGGTGACTGGGGAATGGCCCGGTGGGTGGGAGCTCTCCTCTCTTGTCTGTCTCTCAAATAAATAAATGAAATTTAAAACAAAAAAAGAATCTTATAAACAACAAAAACTAAGGCAAAAAATTACAAATAAGAGAAAAATCCTGGCAGGGCCGGCATTATGGTATCAGGTAAAGCTACCACCTGTGACACTGGCATCCCATACAGGCATGTGTTCAAGTCCCAGCTGCTCCACTTCTGATCCAGCTTCCTGTTAACACATCTGGGAAAGCAGTGAAGATGGTCCAAGAACTTGGGCCCCTGCACCCATATGAGATACCCAGACAAAGGTCTCGGCTCCTGGCTTCGGATCAGCCCAGCTCTGGCCATTGTGGCCATCTGGGAGGTGGATCAGCCGATGGAAGATCTCTCTCTCTGTCTCTCCCTCTCTCTGACTTTCAAAACATAAATAAATCTTTCAAAAAAAGAAGATCATGGATATAGTTAATTCCTTAAAGATAACATGAAAAAAAAAAACAGTTGTTGCTCTAAATGTGCTGGGATTGAGGATTATTAACCAGCATTTATTGCTCTTTCTATGTGATGAATGAAGAAGTTAATCATTACACTTACTACACGGAGGTCTTCAATGCGCTTTTCAAGAAGAACGGGTAGGCCCTCTGGGAGTGTAGGTGCCGCCTTGGGCATCACCTGAGAGGTGTAGGTTGGCTGGGCAGTGTTTCCATTCTCTCCCCCAGACTCAGACAGGGGGCTACCATCAGAAGCAGCATCCAGTAATCTGTCAAAATCGAAATCATCCAGCATCTCTAGGGCATTTTCAGCTTCCTGAAAGAGCTCGTGTTCATTTGTGCTAACAAAAATGGGGAGGTCTGGGTCAGCGCTGCTCAGACTCATGTCCTGGGCGTCACTCCCCAGCGCTGCAGAGGCACAGGGCGCTTTGTGCACAGGGGCGGGCACGAAGGGCACCGGGGCTTTCGGGGTAGACGCCTTCTTTAGTGCATCCTTCTCTTTCTGGAACTTTCGTATCATGGCAGCAAGAGAAAGAGAATCTTTGTAACGTTTCTTCTTCTTCTCTGACTTGTGTGAATTCAGAGCTACAACTCTGTGGAAAAAAAGGAAAAAAGTGATCAGTTAGGTTATGTGTCAATTTACGGGCTAAAGACCCATGTAAATAAGTAGGCCAGAACTAAAATAATCATCTGATAGGTGGCAGAACAAATAGTTTTCTTAATTTCTTACTAAATTATATTTTACCAATAGCATCTTGGCACAGCGCTGTGGTGCACAGGTTAGACCACTGCTTGCAACAGTTTCAAGTTCCTACTGCTCCACTCTCCATCCAGATCCCTGGGAATGCACTTGGGAAAGCAGCTGCAGGTGGCCTGAGTGCTGGGGTCCTGCCGACCCACAAGAGACACACAGCTGGAGCTCAGGGCTCCTACCCTCAGCCTGGACCAGCTCTGCCCATTGTGGCCACTGGGGAGTGACCAGGAGATGAAAGACTGATCTCTCGTTCTGTGTGTCTTTCTCTCCCTCTCTCTGTCACTCTGCCTTTCAAATAAATAAATGTTAAGAAAAAAAAAAAAAAAAAGAATTAACCAAGTAAAGAAATGTACTTTTGCTGAAAACACAGCTGCCTCACAACCCTGGAACCCCAGGAGAATGATGCAATCAACTGCCAAAAACACAACACCCACCATCTCGGTCTTGAGTACTATCCACCACCACGCCATTCTTGTATATCGCATTCTGTCTGCTACAAAGACCTTCTGATCATGTGCCAACTTCCTTTCTAGGAATGGCCACGACAGGCAATCGGACAGCTTTGTACAACTATCAACAATCACCTCCTCTCCTAGGAACTAGACAGAAAGTGCTCAGTTTAGCTACCACTTCCTCTAAAAAAATCTTTTTTAAGTATAATGGTTTAGACATTTCTATGTGTGCTAAAAAATCGAAAAGATTTTTAATACCTTAAAAGCAGGCTGGCAGTTCAGTACTGTTACACACAAGAAGGACAGCGGGGCAATGCTGTGGCACAGATGGGGCCACCACTGCACTTCACACTGGAGTAACAGTTGGAGTACCAGCAGTTTCACTTCTTTTTTTAAAAGATTTATTTATTTACTTGAAAGTAAGTTACACAGAAGAGAGAGAGAGAGAGAGAGAGAGAGAGAGAGAGAGAGAGAGGTCTTCCATCCACTGGTTCACTCCCCAGTTGACCGCAACAGTGAGCCAGGAGCCAGGAGCCTCCTCCGGGTCTTCCAAGGGAGCCCAAGGACCTGGGCCATCCTCCACTGCTGACCCAGGCTATAGCAGAGAGCTGGATTGGAAGAGCAACTGGGACTCGAACCGGCGCCCATATGGGATGCCGGCACTGCAGACGGAGGCTTCACCTGCTCTGCCACAGAGCCGGCCCCCAGTTTCACTTCTGACTCAGCTCCCTGCTAATGCGCCTGGGAGAGCAGCAGATGCCTTAAGATTTTGGGCCCCTGCACTCACACAGGAGATCTGGAAGGAGCTCGAAACTTCTGACTTCAACCTGGCCCAGCCCAGACCATTGCAGCCATCTGGGGAGGGAACAAATGGATGGAAGATCCATGTCTCTTCCTCCCTTCCGTTCCCCTTTTATATCTTAAGTAAATAAAATAAATCTTTTTTAAAGTAAATCTTAAAAAAAAAAAACACTATAGTAAGTCTTTCATAAATACTTGCTGAATAAATTATTGAGAATTCAATAAAAGGTAATACTTATAGCTATGTTCCCAAAGATGCCTACTTGCAAATAATGAACATTTAAAATAACTGTTAGTAACACACACATTTTTCTTACTATTAGGAGATTCTTTCATTTATTTATCTTTTAACATGTATTTGAAAGGCAGAGTTACAGAGCAAAGCGGGGGGAGGGGGAGAGGGTAGAGAGAAAGAGAGCCTGATTGGTCTTCCATCTGGCTGGGGCTAGGCTCCCACGTGTGTGCAGGAACCCAAGCACCTGGGCCATCCTCTGCTGCTCTCCCAAGTGCAACAGCAAGGAGATGGCTCAAAACTGGAGCAGCTGAGATTCCAATGAACACACGTGTGGGATGCCAGCATTGCAGGCAGAGGCTTACCGTGCTACACCAAAATGCTGGTTCCTTAACTTCTTAACAGATTAGGCCTGCACTGTGGCACAGCGCGTTATGCTGCTGCTTGTGACATTCCACACAGGAGTGATGGGCGGAGTCTCGGCTGCTCCTTACTAACGTGTTCAGGAAAACAGTGGGAAGTGGCTCAAGTCCTTGGAGCTCTGCCCTCACAAGGCAGACCAGATGGAGCTCCAGGCTCCTGGCTTCGGCCTACCCAGCCCCAGCTGTTCAGTTTTTTGGAGCGTTAACCAGTGAACAGAAGATGTCTCTCTCCTTCTCTGTCATTCTGCCATTCAAATAAATAAATCATTAAGAAAAAACTTCTTTTAAAGATTTTTATTTATTTGAAAAGTAGAGTTAGAGGGATAGAGAGGGAGTGCTCTTCCATCCGCTGGTTCACTCCCTAAATGGCTGCAATGACCAGAGCTGGGCTGATTTGAAGCCAGAAGCCAGGAGCTTCTCCCAGGTCTCTCAAGTAGCTGCAGGGGCCCAAACACTTGGGCCATTTTCCACTGCCTTCCCAGGCACAGAGGAGGAAGCTGGATCAGAAGTAGAGCAGCCTTGGCCAACGCCGTGGCTCACTAGGCTAATCCTCCACCTGTGGTGCCGGCACCCCGGGTTCTAGTCCTGGTTGGGGTGCCGGATTCTGTCCCGGTTGCTCCTCTTCCAGTCCAGCTCTCTGCTGTGGCCTGGGAGTGCAGTGGAAGATGGCCCAAGTCCTTGGGCCCTGCACACCCATGGGAGACCAGGGGAAGCACCTGACTCCTGGCTTCGGATTGGCGCGGTGCACCGGCCGCAGCGGCCATTGAGGGGTGAACCAACAGAAAAAGAAAGACCTTTCTCTCTGTCTGTCTCTCTCTCACTGTCCACTCTGTCAAAAAAAAATAAAAAATTTTAAAAATATTAAAAAAAAAAAAAGAAGTAGAACAGCCTGGATTCGAACTGGTGCCCATATAGGAAGCCAGCACCACAGGTGGTGGCTGTACCTGCTGCGCCACAGCCCTGGCCCTAGATTAGTGACTATAACCCTATCTGATCCTATCTGATCCTATCTGTGGGAGGGGGAGAGTACCTTCCTCCACCAACTTTCGTATAGTGATAGCCCACAATCCAGATGTACTTCCCCCTCCCCTACAAAAAGAGAAAGAAAATGCAGCCTCTTACAACTATCTTTCCCTGGGCTCTGCAGATAAAGTCATAGGTAGAGGCACTGGTAATTTTTGATACAAATACTTTTTTCTGATTTAAGGCTTTTGAGAAATTCTACTTGGTTTTTAGTGGCAATATCATTACCTAAATTCACAAGCACAAAGAACAGCTTAATAAAATCAATGAAAATTTTTATATTAAAATAACTATAAATTGTTTACACATAGGCTACTGCCAATTCTCAAATCCCCAAGCACCTAAGTTTAGTGTTAGTACTAAAAGATTAACAGAGGGGCCAGCACTGTGGCATATTGGGTAAAGCTACAGCCTGCAAAGCCAACATCCCTTGTAGGTGCTGGTTTGAGTGCTGTCTGCTCCACTTCCGATCCAGTTTCCTGCTAAGGTACCTGGGAAAGCAATGGGGCATGGCTTAGGTTCTTGGGCCACCCACATGGGAGACCTAGATGAAGCTCCTGGCTTCAGACCAGACCAGCTCTGGCCATTGTGGCCATTTGGAGAGTGAACCAGCAGATGAAAGATCGCTCTCTCTCTCTCTCTCTGTAAACTCTGTTTTTCAAATAAATAAATAAATCTTTTAAAAAAAGATTAAAAACAGCAAGTTTAACATTTTATACCACCTTTTCAAACTCATTCTCATTGGTGAAAAGTCACAGTGAGCGTCTCACAGATGAAAGCCTTCATGACTTAATAAATACTATAATACTAAGTTATTAGGTCATTAATATTTGAAAATGCTTTATTCCATTAAGTCCAGCTAAGCTGAATTAATTAATGATGGATGCATCTTTCTAAAAGGAGAGAAAGACTGAGACACGAGTTCCCTTATTAGGCTTCTGTTTTTTTTTTTTTAAAGATTTATCTATTCACTTGAAATGCAGAGTTACAGAGAGAGAGGGAGGAAGGTTGAGAGCAAGAGAGAGAAACAGAGATCTTCCATCCACTGGTCCACTCCCCAGATGGCCACAACAGCTGGAGCTGCACTGGTCTGCCCGGGACGTCCTCTGGGTCCCCCATGTAGGTGCAAAGGCCCAAGAACTTGGGCTATCCTCTGCTGCCTTCCCAGTCCCAGGCATACGAGAGGCAGACTGGAAGTGGAGCAGCTGGGACATGAACTGGTGTGCAATGGGACGCGAGTGTGGCAGCTGGCAGGCGCACTGCACTACGACGCAGGCCCCGGGTAGTGACTGTGACTTAGCCCAGATTTGGTGACTGTGACATACCCCAGATTAGGTGACTCTGACTTACCCAAGATTAGGTGACTGTGACTTATCCCGGGTTGGTGACTGTGACATACCCCAGGTTAGGTGACTGTGACATACCCCAGATTAGGTGAATGTAACTTACCCGAGATTAGGTGGCTGTGACATACCCCAGATTAGGTGACTGTGACTTACCCCAGATTAGGTGAATGTGACATATCCCGGGTTGGTGACTGTGACATATCCCAGGTTGGTGACTATGACTTACCCCAGATTAGGTGAATGTGACATAACCCAGATTAGGTGAATGTGACATACCCCGGGTTGGTGACTGTGACTTACCCCAGATTAGGTGAATGTGACATAACCCAGATTAGGTGACTGTAACATACCCCAGGTTGGTGACTGTAACTTACCCCAGTTGCTTGGGTACTTTTTTCCTTGGCTTCTTCTCCTTTTCCCCTTCCTCTTTCCGCTTGCGCTTCTTCATCTCAATATCATCTTCTTTTACTTTGGGAACCTGCAAAATTATTGTATTAGAATTGTTTCTTTAACAATGTGGATTCCTGGGATCTAAGAGCACTCTCACCTCTGGTTTTGATTCAGTTGTCTGGGGTAGGGCCACCCAATTTGCATTCTTAACAAACATCTGGTACAAGTCAGTCCCTGGATCACACTGCAAGAAACACTTAACTAGAGACACTGCACATTTCCCAAACACAGTGTACAAACCACAGCTCTGGGAAGATAACAGCTATTAACAAGCATTTCTAAAGCAACCTATTCTGGAAGCTTACCCAAGACTATCAGACCACATATGTATAGAGAATTAAAAAAGTAGCCGGCACCGCGGCTCACTAGGCTAATCCTCCGCCTTGCAGCGCCGGCACACCGGGTTCTAGTCCCGGTCGGGGCATGGGATTCTGTCCCGGTTGCCCCTCTTCCAGGCCAGCTCTCTGCTGTGGCCAGGGAGTGCAGTGGAGGATGGCCCAAGTGCTTGGGCCCTGCACCCCATGGGAGACCAGGAAAAGCACCTGGCTCCTGCCATCGGATCAGCGCGGTGCGCCGGCCGCAGTGTGCCAGCCGCGGCGGCCATTGGAGGGTGAACCAACGGCAAAGGAAGACCTTTCTCTCTGTCTCTCTATCTCACTGTCCACTCTGCCTGTCAAAAAATAAATAAATAAATAAATAAAATAAATATAAAAAAATAAAAAGAATTTAAAAAGTTAGTTCTACTATGATATATTTACACCCTACTACTATATATAGTTATACCAATTTTCCCAGAGCTACAAAATTTTATTTTAAAGTACATGATCATAGATTCATTAAGTGATGGTTATCTTTTACTTTGCCTTATGTTCACAGTTGTGGTACAAGCAACATTCACAAAGTGTAGCCTATTAATTTAATGTTCTCATTACTGCTGCAATGTCAGATGAACTCACTTTGGGTGGCTTGTGCTTTTGGTTGTCTGTAACTTCTTCTTCTTCAGTGTCTGAAGCCTGGCGAAACTGCAGCGTGCCAGTATTGATATAGAAACCTCCGTATTTTGTTGTTAGAGAAGCAGGAACTAATTCATCATACTAGATATTAAAGAAAAGGTCTCGGTTATGCCGTGTCGTCTTCACCCTGCAGGTACGTCAGATAACGCATGTACCACAGCAGCATCCTCCTCAAACTCTAAGTGCAAACTCCCTGCAGCACTGGCAACCCCCGCTGCACGTGCACGGCAGCCCCTCCCAGCACTGCAGGGCTCACACGCCAGACTCTGCACACCAGCACTGGCAACCCCCGCTGCACGTGCACGGCAGCCCCTCCCAGCACTGCAGGGCTCACACGCCAGGCTCTGCACACCAGCACTGGCAACCCCCGCTGCACGTGCACGGCAGCCCCTCCCAGCACTGCAGGGCTCACACGCCAGGCTCTGCACACCAGCACTGGCAACCCCCGCTGCACGTGCACGGCAGCCCCTCCCAGCACTGCAGGGCTCACACGCCAGGCTCTGCACACCAGCACTGGCAACCCCCGCTGCACGTGCACGGCCAGCCCCTCACAGCACTGCAGGGCTCACACGGCCAGGCTCTGCACACGCAGAAGAGCAGACTGCCTAAGGGCGCCAAACAGACACAGCAGCAGCCACAAAGCCAGGCGCTGCCCCCTGGAACAGATGGATAAACCCAGGAACACACGCGTAGTGAAAGAAGCCAGGCGGAGAGAGACAAACACCAGGTATTTCATACGTGGAATCTGAAAAACTGAACTCGAAGAAGTACAGGGTGGAAGCTGGGGTACCAGAGCTGGCCTGGGTTGGGGCCAGTTAGAAAGGGAAAGAGGAGACTATGACCAATGATACCAAGTTGCAGGTAGGAGCAATAAATTCTCATTTTCTACTGCACAGAGGCATGACTACAGTTTGTACTGTTACATCACAAAATACCTAAGACAGGATTTTGAGTATTCTCACCATAAAGAAATGATGAGTTTGAGGTGATGAATTTGCAAATGAGACTGATTTGAACATTACAAAATAATGCACACACGGACTGAATCATGTTTTACCCCATAAATATGTGCAATTATTATTTGTCAATTAAAATACTTCCCCTCAAAAAGAGCCTGACAGCAATGAAAATAGTTGCAGAATAAACTTAAGAGTTTGATATATGTAAAGGAACTTTTAGAACAATCATTTAATTTATTTTTTTAAGGTTTATTTTATTTATTTGAGAGGCAGAGTTACAAAGAGAGAAAGGAGAGACAGAGAGAGACCTTCCATCTGCTGGTTCACTCCCCAAATGGCCACAACTGCAGGGGCTGGGTGAGGCTGAAGCCAGGAGCCAGGAACTTCATCCAGGTCTCCCGCATGGGCGCAGGGGCCCAGAGACTTGGGCCATCTGCTGCTGCTTTCCCAGGCCATAGCAGAGAGCTGGATGGGGCAGCCAGGACTCGAATTGGTGCACACATGGGTGACGCCATTGCAGTGCTGGCTTAACCTGTATGCCCCAGTGCAGGCTCCTCATTTAACTTCTAAAGATGTCACCTGCTACCATTGTTTTTTCTTTCCCCCTTCTATTATTCATGACAAATAATTCTGATAAGAAATTCAAACAAATTAAAACAAATGACTAAATGCCCAGATAGAGCAAATATTTCCTACCATATCATTTACATAGTTTTATTAATAAAGCAATTATAAAGAACAATAAAATCATTTTTTCATCCTAACTTTATGCTTTTTTAAATAGGGAAAGATTTTAGAACATTTAAAAGAAAAACAGCACATATGTTTTAAAAGGAGCAGAAAAATAACAGCCCAGTACAGTAAGCAACTTGAGGATCTAGAATGAGCCAGAAAGACACTTGGCTTGGAGCAAGGAATTCAAATTGTCTAAATCATATTTGTGTCATCGAGTCTGGCTTGCAATGTTTATCATTATTTCATCTGATGAAGAACAAACAGCAAACACAAAGGCCAAACTGAATCAGCACAAGTGGCCACAGAGAGAGAGAGAAGAAAAGCACCTACTTCAGCAACAGAAAGGCACCTGCTAGTTGGGGCTACCAGAACTCTATTTCTGGAGCTCTTCTCATTATATAACTAGATTTTAAGCAAGTTAGATTTTACAGGACCAGTGTTTGAGGCACAGTGGGTAAAGCTGCTGCCTGCAACTCCAGAATCCTGTATCAGAGTGTTGGTCTGCTGGCTGCTCCACTTCTGATCCAGCTTCCTGTTAATGTGCCTGGAGGTGGTGGAGGATGGCCCAAGTACTTGGGTTGCTGCCACCCTTGTGGGAGACCTGAATGGCATTCTGGTCTCCTGGCTTTCGCCTGGCACAGACCTGGCTGTTGCAGCCATTTGGGAACTAACCAGAGGACAAAAGAACTCTTCTTTCATTGTTTTTCCTTTCAAATAAATAAACAGGGGGCCAGCGCCAGGGCGCAGTAGGTTAATCCTCCACCTGCGGTGCCGGCATCCCACATGGGCGCCGGTTCTAGTCGTGGCTGCTCCTCTTACAGTCCAGCTCTCTGCTGTGGCCCAGGAGGGCAGTGGAGGATGACCTAAGTGCTTGGGCCACTGCACCCACGTGGGAGACTGGGAAGAAGCACCTGGCTCCTGGCTTCGGATCGGCGCAGCTCTGGCCATTGCAGCCATTTGGGGAGTGAACCAACGGAAGGAAGACCTCTCTCTCTGTCTCTCCCTCTCACTGTCTGTAACTCTACCTCTTAAATAAATAAATAAAATCTTTAAAAAATAAACAAATAAATCTTTAAAAAATGTTAACTTTTAAGGAAAACTCTTTGTCATGGGCGAGGACTATTCATATCCTACTATCTATTATAAGACTATCAAGACTAATTACAAAAATCGTGATTTTTTTTTAATCTGTTTCCTTTGAAATTATACGGAGAATGGAAAAAGAAACAATGCCCAGTTTAACCATACTGAATTAAAAAGAAATGAAATGGGGCTGGCACTGCGATGTAATGGGTAAAGCTGCCTCCTGCAGTGCCAGGATCCCATATGGGCACCAGTTCAAGACCCAGCTTCCGATCCAGCTCTGCTACAGCCTGGGAAAGCAGTAGAAGATGGCCCAAGTCCTTGAGCCCCTGCATCCACGTGGCAGACGTGGAGGAAGCTCCTGGCTCCTGGCTTCGGATCAGCTCAGCTCGTTGCTGCAGCCAACTGGGGAGTGAACCATTGGATGGAAGACCTCTCTCTCTCTCTCTCTCTCTCTGCCCTTCGTTCTCTCTGTGTGTAACTCTTTCAAATAAATAAATCAATCTTTAAAAAGAAATGAAAATAAGGATTTGAACTCATGCCTACTGTTCTGCTAGGTACACTACTATAAAGATCGCTGAGGATCGTACGTGTGAGCAGTGAAGGGTAGCAGTGAGAAGGTTTCAGAGTCTTTGAGAATATGCAACTGTGGTGAGATACATCTCTGCGTATACATCTGCATAATGCATTATAACTGTCAATACTTCTTCTTAAGAATATCATTTCATGGTCTCATGATGCCATCACTAGGCAAGCAAAGTCACTAGGAAAGTCAGTGTCATTTCATTAGTGAGAACCAAGTGAGGACCTTGCTGAAGCAACTTCCTGTTCGTGGCCATCACTGGCTGCGCACCTAACACCAGGCAGCTCCTTCAGATGAGAAGCTCACTTATCACCAGACATACGGGGCAATTTCTTCTCTATCAGAACGCTTCAGGAAAACAAATTCTGTGACTACTGAATTTAGTCATTTTAAGTAAAATGTGTTGAGAGGGAACGGCACTGAACTGCAGAGGCCACGGCTCTACTTCCCACGCAGCTGAGTTGTAAGCAGGCAGAGTACCACCCAGATTCTACTCACGCCTAGCATCACCACTGATTATCCTCAAAGCACTTTCAGCCCTCTTAACTTGGCAGTACAAATCTAAAACTAAAAATGACCTTCAAGAGCACTTATTTTCAGGTATTTTAACAGTAACTAGTCAATGACTCTGAACATTAATCAGAATCACATTACTCTCACCCTCTATCAAATAACTGAACACGGAAAGCTGTGTGACCCTCTCAGAAGAGAGCTGAGCGCCTGGCAGCCCAGCGGGCCACGCTCCAGCTATTACGTCTCAGGTGCACCAGGAGCCTTCCGATAAGGCAGGACACGCCAGGAGTCGCCTCATCTTTCCCAATCCTGAAGGTCAGAGAAGCGATGTCCTAACAGTTCCCAGTCCCCAGCGTACTCCTGGCCTCTTCTGCCGCTCTACAGAGTGAGCCGACTGAGCCCCGCTGCGGACTCCGCGGGCCAGCAGCCCCACAGAACTCCCTGATTTCGATGTGAGGCCTCCTTCCTGGTTTCTCAGTCTCAGGATTCTGCCCAGTCTGGAACAAGGAAGGGGTAGGGGTGGTATGCCACGCTCCGCCCACCAATACCACATGCACACCAAAGCTTACTGACAATACAAGTTAGCAGAAACAAGAATATTTGGGGGCCGGCGCCGCGGCTCACTAGGCTAATCCTCCGCCTAGCGGCGCCGGCACATCGGGTTCTAGTCCCGGTCAGGGCGCTGGATTCTGTCCCGGTTGCCCCTCTTCCAGGCCAGCCCTCTGCTGTGGCCAGGGAGTGCAGTGGAGGATGGCCCAGGTGCTTGGGCCCTGCACCCCATGGGAGACCAGGAAAAGCACCTGGCTCCTGGCTCCTGCCATCGGATCAGCGCGGTGCGCCGGCCGCAGCGCGCCGGCCGCGGCGGCCATTGGAGGGTGAACCAACGGCAAAGGAAGACCTTTCTCTCTGTCTCTCTCTCTCACTGTCCACTCTGCCTGTCAAAAAAAAAAAATAAATAAATAAATAAATAAATAAATAATGCAATCAATGCATAGATACACTTAATTCTTTCAATTTTTTTTTAAAGAGAGATTTATTTATTTATTTGAAAGTCAGAGTTACACAGAGAGAGGAGAGGCAGAGAGAGAGAGAGAGGTCTTCCTTCCGATGGTTCACTCCCAACTGGCTGCAACTGCCGGAGCTGAGCTGATCCGAAGCCAGGAGCCAAGAGTTTCTTCTGGGTCTCCTACGCGGGTGCAGGGCCCAGGGACTTGGGCCATCTTCTACGGCAATCCCAAGCCATAGCAGAGAGCTAGATTGGAAGTGGAGAACTGGGTCTTGAACCGGCGCCCTTATGGGATGCCAGCGCTTCAGGCCAGGGCGTTAACCCGCTGTGCCACAGTGCTGGCCCACTCAATTATTTCTAAGCACATAAAACTGTACACAGTTCAGATGCCCATCAAAAGGGATTAAATAAAGTATACAATTTAGGTGCGTTCCCTAATAGTTACTACAAGAAATATGTCTACACGCTAATACATAAATACTACTGGAACACAATATTTTTTAATAGAAAAGCAATGTTTTAAACCAAGATTCAGGAGTGGGTGTTTGGCCTAGTAGTTAAGACGTCCCGTCCCGCCGGCGCCATGCCTCACTTGGTTAATCCTCCACCTGCGGTGCTGGCATCCCATATGGGCCCTGGGTTCTAATCCTGGTTGGGGCGCTAGTTTGTCCCGGTTGCTCCTCTTCCAGTCAAGCTCTCTGCTGTGGCCCAGGAGGGCAGTGGAGGATGGCCCAAGTGCTTGGGCCCTGCACCCGCATGGGAGACAGGGAGGAAGCACACTGGCTCCTGGCTTCGGATCAGCGTAGCTCTGGCCGTAGCGGCCATTTGGGGGGTGAACCAACAGAGAGAAGAGCTTTCTCTCTGTCTCTCTCTCTGTCTTAAAAAAAAAAATAAAAAATAAAAAAATAAAAAAAAGCCCTGTCCCCTACTGCAGGGCTGGGTCCAGTAACAGCTCTGCTTCCAACTCCAGCTTCCTGCTAACTTGAGCCCTGGGAGAGTGGGGGTGGTCCCGGCCACTCCTGTGAGGTTCTGGATGGAGTTCCTGACTCCTGGTTTTGGTCCCAGCCAGGGTCTATTATAGACGCCAGGGGAGTAAAGCAGTGAATTGACATATATCCTCTATCAAATAAGTTATTAAAATTTAAAAAAAATACAGACTTTGGTTGCACTGGTGTTAATTGTTTAAAAAGTACACACAGGCTGTATGCTTACTATATATGGAAATTTCTAGATAACTATACAAGATGCTTAACAGAGTTTCCTACTGCTTTCTTTTATAAGATTTATTTATTGGAGCTGGTGATGTGGCGTAGCCAGTAAAGCTGCTTCCTGCAGTGCTGGCATCCCATGTCGGCAACGGTTCAAATCCCGGCTGCTCCACTTCCAATTCAACTCTCTGCTGTGGCCTGGGAAAGCATAGAAGATGGCCCAAATCCATGGGCATCTGCACCCATGTGGGAGACCTGGAAGCTCCTGGCTCCTGGCTCCTGGCTTCGGATCGGCCCAGCTCTGGCTGTCGCAGCCTTCTGGGAAGTGAACAAGCGGATGGACGACCTCTCTCTGCCTCTGCCTCTTAAATAAATAAATAAATCTTTATAAAAAATTTATTTTTTGGGGGGAAAGATTCAAAATATGTCTTTAATAATATGCATCAGATTGAAATAATGGTCTTTAGCCCATGTCAAAATATATGCCTGAGATTCTGGTGCAAAGCCGGGTGACTATAGATAATACTAATGGTCTGGGGACCAGCGCTGTGGCGCAGTGGGTTGGCGCCCTGGCCTGAAGTGCTGGCATCCCATGTGGGTGCTAGTTCTAGTCCTGGCTGCTCCTCTTCCAATCCAGCTCTTTGCTATGGCCTGGGAAAGCAGTAGAAGCAGTAGAAGAAGTCCTTGGGCTCCTGCACCCACGTGGGAGACTGGAGGAAGCTCCTGGCTCTGGCTTCAGATCGGCACAGTTCTGTCATTGTGCTCATCTGGGGAGTGAACCAGCGGATGGAAGACTTCTCTCTCTCTGTCTCTACCTCTCTCTGTAACTGTCTTTCAAATAAATGAAATAAATGTTTGAAAAAAAAATACTAATGGTCTGTATATTTTTCTTTGCTTTTTTTTTTTTTAAAGATTTATTTATTTGAAAGGCAGAGTTACAAAGAGGCAGAGGCAGAACGAGAGAGAGAGAGATAGAGAGAGAGAAAGCCTTCCATCCTCCAATTCACTTCCCCAAATGGTTGCAATGGCCAGAGCTGGGCTGATCCAAAGCCAGGAGCCAGGAGCTTCCTCAGGGTCTCCCACATGGGTGCAGGGGCCCAAGCACTTACGCCATCTTCTACTGCTATCCCAGGCCATAGCAGAGAGCTGGATGTGAAGTGGAGCAGCCAGGACTTGAACCAGCACCCACATGGGATGCTGGCACTATAGGTGGCAGCTTTACCTACTACACCCCAGCACCTGCCCCCTACATATTGTTCTATAAAAAAGTAGAAGATAGGATTTTGTGGGTTTTTACTACACAGAGTGTTAAATTCTTGAGCAGATAAATACATCTACCCCCACTGGACACTTTACAATATGGACATGTAACAGAACATCACATGGTACCCATAAATACAAAAAATTTGTATGTAAATTTTTCAAAAAAAGGCTTTAAAGGAACTTAACTTAAAAATACAAGTAAGTACAGTTCTTTGAGCATTTTCTATATCCTAGGCAATTTGTATGACTTGCAATTAGCTGAGACTTATTTTTAAATAAATAAATAAATAAATAGAGTTAACAGAGAATATTCCATCTTCTGGTTTACTCTAACAGCCCAGGCTGAAGCCAGGAACCTAGAACTCCATCCTGGTCTCCTACGGGGTGTCAGAGGCCTAAGCACTTGGGCCATCCTGCTGCTGCTTTCCCAGGCACGTTGGCAGAGAGCTGGATAGAAGTGGAACAGCCAGGACTTGAACTGGTGCCCATACGGGGTGCCAGTGTCGCAGGTGGTGGCTTCACCCGTGCCATAATGCTTGCCCCCAGTGTGTACCTCCTGACAGCGAGGCCTTGGGGTGCTTAATCCACTTCATGACCAGCTTATGCTTCCTTCTGTTCTACCACTGCATATACTAATTTTGTAAATAAGAAAAAAGAACGTGAAAAATTAAACAAAAGCACCCCCAACACAAAAAGCTCTGGCTTAGGCCTCTCCTCCAGAAATTCTAATTCAGTAAGTCTCAGTTAAGTAAAACAAACCAGGGGTAGTGCTGTGGTATAGTGGGCTAAGCTGCCACCTGTGATGCCAGCATCCCCTAAGGGTGCCAGTCCAAGTCCCGGCTGCTCCACTTCCAACCCAGCTTCCTGCTAATGCACCTGGGAAAGCCGCGGAACATGGCTCAAGTGCTTGGGCCCTTGCCACTCATGTGGGAAAGCCATTGAAAGCTTCGGGCTCCCGGCTTCAGTGGGCCCAACCCTGACTGTAGCTGCCATCTGGGGAGTGAACCCGTGGATGGAAGACCTCTCTCCCTGTCTCTGCAATTCTGCCTTTCAAGTAAATAAAAAATAAATTTAAAAAAAAGGGGGGGGGGGAGGGGAACCATCTACTGGTTAACTCCCTCACAAGCGCCCACAATGGCAGGGTGTGAGCCAGCCTAATGTTAGGACCCAGGAACTCAATCCAATCTCCCAGGTGGGTGGCAGGAACCTAACTACTTCAGCCATCCCTGCTGTCTCCCAGGCAGGAAGCTGGAATCGACAGCAAAGCCAGACTGAAATCCAGGCTCTCCAATACGGGATATGAGTTTTCCAATTGATGGCTGAACCATTAAGTCAACTATCTGCCCCATGAAAATGATCAGTGAAAGAACTTCAAGCGATATTTCAGAAACTAGCAGGGAGCACCGTGAATTGAGACTAAGTCGAACAGGACCAGCAAACCATGGTCACCAGCCAGACCCAGCCTGCCAGTTTGCTATCATACACCGTGCAACCGAAGAACGGGTTTTTATATTTTCTATACGGTTGGGAGAAAAAAATCAAAACAGAATTAGTATTTCATGACACATGAAAATTACAGCTTAAATTTCCAAGTCCACAAATAAAGCTTCATTGTAACAGTCACTATTACTACTGTAGACAACTGCTCTCCTGCTACAACCTGAGTCCAGGGCGCAGCTGTGGCCAAGACCGTGTGGTCCACAAAATCCAAACCATTTACAATGTGACTCTTTACAGAAACAGAGTTTGCCAAAACTTGTTCTAGTACAACAATGTAATAGTGATAACTATGGAATAAGGACTATGGCCACTATCGAGTAACTGAACATGAAATTTTACACATGCGGTATTCTTTTTTAAATAATCAAAAAAATAAATAAATAAAAAGCAGTGAGCTTGGCTTTCAAAAGCACACATAAAAACATTCACTGTCTACTTTACCCATGATTCTACCCCAAAGAAACAAAGAATTTGCTGCCATATTAAAGATACATTACTCACAGCCTCTGAGTTATCAATAAATGGATCTGTCTCATCATAGCCAAAGCCTATATCAATTAAATCTTGTAGCCGATCCTTCCGGTGCTTACGGGGTTTCCCACCCTGCAAAGAACAGATACATTAGGCTATTCAGTACTCATACTGTTTCCAGAAGTCACAAAAGACCTGTTGGAAGAATTCAAGTAACTTCTGTAGGTAATCCCCCTCCAGGGTGGCAGTTACACTCTACTTCAGGGAGGACAAAGTAACTCCAGGGGAAACCTGGCACTACCTAAGCCAGGTGGCCAGAGTGAACGCAAACCCAAGGTCATGTGGACAGCATGCATCCTTGCTGTAATGGGACAAAACCTGCACTTGACCTCTGTGGCCGCCTCTCAAAAGCCTAAAACCAGGGAGAAAACATCAGAGAGACCCAAACAGATGGCATTCTACAAAATAAGCAACTAGTATCCTTCAAAGCTCAAGATTATCAAAAACCATCACCACCACCAACAGTAACAACAAACCTTGGAAAACTGTCCGACAAAGAATACATAATGACAGGAAGTGAAAAAAGACACTGGGGGACAGTAGTAACATCCAAAGTGTAGAGTTTATGTAAGTTACCAATGTTGGCTCCTTGGTTGTAACAAAGTACTACATGAACACACAATGTTAACAATAGGGAAAAGTTGGTAGGGCTGTATGAGAGCTCTTTTACCACCTTTGCTATTTCTCTGTAAATATAAAATTTCTGTAAATGTAAAATCTTTTTAAAATTACTTTACACATCTTTCAAAATTTGATTTCATTTTATTTGAAAGGTAAACGAAGAAAGAGAGAGAGATCTTCCAACTGCTGGCTCAGTCAGCAAATGCCTTCAACAGCCAGTACTGGGCCAGGCCAAAGCCAGGAGCCCAAGACTCCAGACAGGTCTCCTGCGTGGGTGGCAGGAACCCAGGATCTCGAGCCGTCACCTGCACTAATAGGAAGCTGGATCAGCAGCAGAGAAGGGATCATGCATCCTAAGCAGCAACTTGACTACTGAACCAAATGCCCAGCCCAGGTGCTTTATCCAGGTCTCCTGTGTAGGTTCAGGACCCAAGTACCTGGGCCATCATTCTCTGCTTCCCAAGCACATTAGCAGGGAGCTGTATAGGAAGTGGAGCATCCAGGACTTGAACTGATCCCCACATGGGATGCCAGCATCACAGGAGGAGGCTTAGCCCATTACACCACAATGCCAGCTCCCTGGAAGATCTCTATCTTTCCCTCCCTCTCTGTCACTCTGCCTTTCAAATAAATAAAATAAATCTTAAAAAAAGATTTTTTTTAATGTGAGAAATTCTGTTTCCAAGGAACCTACATGGATAATCTTCTCAACAAATTTCCTGAGCCACCTACTATGTGTCAGCTTTTCTGGATTTTGCAGTATTGTACAAAGGAGGGAGGTTAATCAACAGCTATAAACAGTTACAGAAAGTAGAAAGGGTAGGCTGACGTGGTGCAGCATCGGGTCGAGTCCCACCTGCTCCACTTCCAAACCAGCTCCCTGCTAATGAGCCTGGAATAGCAGCGGAAGATGGCTTAAGCGCTTGGGCTCCTGCACCCATGAGGGAGTCCCAGAGGAAGCTCCTAGCTCCTGGCTTCAGTCTGGCCCAGTCCTGGCTGTTCCCACCATTTGGGGAATGAACCAGCGGATGGAAGACTTTGCCTCTGCCTCTGCCTCTCCCTCTCTGTAATTCCACCTTTCAAATAAATAAATAAATCTTCAAAAAAATTATAGCAAATGATGATATTATTTGGAGGAGCTGAATCTCCTGTATATTACTGTTGCAAATGGCCATATAATGATAAAGGCCACTTTGAAAAATAGTTTGGTAGTTTCTTATAAACACACAGATAGCATACGACCTAACAATCCAACTCACATGTACTCAAGAGAAACAAAAATGGATGTTCTTACAAAGGCTTCTTACTCTAACATTTAGAGCAGTTCTACTCATAACAGTGAAAAACTGGACACCACCCAATACCCGTCTTCTGGCAACTGGATAAACGATTGTGATGCAAAATCCACATGGCGTACATTACTACTCAGCAGTGAGATGGAAGAACTTCTGCCACCAGCACCTCATGGATTCAGAAGGCTGACACAGAAGATGTAAGAGTCCACTTACAGGAAACACTGGCAAAAGCACACACAGACACACACACACACACACACAGAGGAAGAGGAAGAAACGACAGGCTGCCTGTGGCTGGGGTGCAGGGAGAGGCCTGGGTGCCGATGAACAAGGCTCTCTCAGTTCTTCTCTGATATGTCTGCCTGGCTGTCAGGTGTACTTTTCATTCAACTGTACTTCAAAAAAAAAAAAAAAAAAAAAAAAAAAAAAAAAGAACAAGGGAACTTTGTAGAGGTCTGAGACTGCTCCATATCATGACTGGTAGGGGCGACAGGATTCAATACACGTGTTGCATTCACCATTGTAACTGACAATGGGTGGTTTGTATTTACTTAAATTACACCTCAATAATGCTGACGTTAAAAGCCCCTCTTTATTATTGCCATTTCAAGTCTCTTCCCTACAAACGTGTGCTCTTATGATTATTCTCATCTACAGCTTTCTTTCCATTCCAAATGCCAATGCTAGGACACTTCTCACCTAAATGCACTGAGTGCCTCACTCAGGCTCTCTTCCCTTGCATTTGTCCTGCATGATACCACTTAGTTAATAGTTCTAAAATACCACACAGTGTCATTCCCCTGCTCGGAATGCTTCAGTTGTATCCTAATATTGTAATTCAAGGGCTGGCATTGTGCGGGAGGGTAAGGTCACCGCCCGGAATGCCAGCATCGTATGGGCATTGGCCCGCGTGCTGGCTGCTCCACTTCCAATGCAGCTCCCTGCAGAAGGCCTGGGAAAGCAGTAGAAGACCGCCCAAGTGCTTGAGCACCTGCACCCACGTGGAAGACCCAAAAGAAGCTCCTGGCTCCTGGCTCCAGCCTGGCCCAGTCCTGGTGTTGGGACCATCTGGGGAGTGAACCAACCAGTAAAAGATTCGCTCTATAATTCTGCTTTTCAAAAAATAAATAAATCTTTTTTTAAAAAGAGAGAATTCTGATAAATTCTTTAAAAAGTGATAATTCAAAACCCTTGATATGGTACCAATTAAATGCTTTCTACAAGTTGACTGAAATACCTTTCCACTTTTTTTCTTAGTTTTCCAACATAAACTAACCTGCTCCTCCCACCCTTCAATGCTCAGATGTTTTTTGCTTCTTTGTTCTTGCATTTTTATTTATTTAAATAAATATCCTTGCTGGCGCCGCAGCTCACTAGGCTAATCCTCCGCCTAGCGGCGCCAGCACACCGGGTTCTAGTCCCGGTCAGGGCGCCGGATTCTGTCCTGGTTGCCCCTCTTCCAGGCCAGCCCTCTGCTGTGGCCAGGGAGTGCAGTGGAGGATGGCCCAGGTGCTTGGGCCCTGCACCCCATGGGAGACCAGGAAAAGCACCTGGCTCCTGGCTCCTGCCATCGGATCAGCGCGGTGCGCCGGCCGCAGCGCGCCGGCCGCGGCGGCCATTGGAGGGTGAACCAACGGCAAAGGAAGACCTTTCTCTCTGTCTCTCTCTCACTGTCCACTCTGCCTGTCAATAAATAAATAAATAAATAAATATCCTTGTATCCTTTGTTTTAATCCCTTATCCAAGATGCTTCCTAATTAAAGTCACAATGATATTTCTGCCCTCCTAATATATTTTTGGTCTAGTCACAACTAGCTGCCTTCAGGCTTTCCTGGGAGAAACTAAAATATCAAACAAGTTCTGTTATAGCAGGCATAATCAGACACGGGCAAAAGTACTAAGTGTGGATAACTCCAGAGCTCCAGGACATCTACGCGAGATAAGACTGCTAGTTTGTTGCCAACAGAAATCATGACTGTTCTTAATAGTTCTGTGTCCATAGTCTAATACAGGCATTAAAGTACCAAGTACTGCAAAGTGTGAATCTTACAGATCAAACAAAACAGCTGACGTTTACTTGATTATAATAGTAGTATTCTGACCAAAATGTCTCCCAAAAGTGATCTTTCAAGTATAAGATCTGCATTAAGCACATCAATTATAGACTATCAGTGATAAAAGTATAAATTACATAAGCCATTGAGGCTGGCACTGTGGTGCAGGGGGTTAAGCTGCCACCTGATAGACTAGCATCCAATACGGACAATGGTTTGAGTCCCGGCTGCTCCACTTCTGATCCAGCTCCCAAACACCCATGTGGGAGACTCGGATGAAGGTCCTGACTCCTGGCTTTTATCTGGCTCAGTCCTGGCCACTGTAGCCATTTGGATACTGAATCAGTGGATGGAAGACTTCTCTCTGCCTCTGCCTCTTTTTCTCTGTAACTTCACTTTTCAAATAAATAAATAAATCTTTCAAATAAATTAAATTTTTAAAAAATAAATAAAATATGACATATTCATTGTTAACAGCCGTTTAAAAACAAGATGGGAGGAGCACTGTGGTGCAATGGGTAAAGCCCTGCCTCAATGTCAACATCCTCTACGGGCACCAGTTTGAGACGCGGCCATTCAGCTTCAGATCCAGCGTCTCGCTAATTCACCTGAGAAAGTAGCAGAGACCTGATGGCTACTGGCCTCACCTGCCCCACCTCAGCTGTTGCAGTCATTTAGGGAGTGAACCAGCAGATGGAAAATTGATGTCTTTCGCTTTCCCTCTACTTTTCAAATATATTAATATTTTTTAAAAAGGCAGTTTACCAAATATTACATACAGTTCAGGTGATCTATAGAAAAGATAATTATCAATGTTACTAAGTTTTGAAAGGGTGCTCAATCTAACTGGTAATCATGGAGACAATACTGAAATAACAGTACTGGCAGCTGACACTGTGGCAAAGGAGGGACAGCAGCCACCAGTGACAACAGCAGCCCACATGGGCGCCATTTCAAGACCTGGCTGCTTCACTTCCGATCCAGCTCCCTGCTAGTGCACCTGGGAAAGCAGGCCAGGAGGATGGCCCAAGTGCTTGGGCCCCTACACCCACATGGGGGACCTGGAAGAAGCTCCTGACTCCTGGCTTCAGCCTGGCCTAGC